ACCAACCATGGAATTGAACCCAACTTGGCACACCGAACTCCCATGACCAAGAGAAAATAGCAGAAAGGTTTGTGGGTACTGACCTTGAGTTTTGGAGTTGTAGTTCACCTACATCCAGAGAGCACTGTGGACTAAAACAATAATAGATTTGGACCAAACTTGGCATGTATACTCAATATTCCGAAATGTGAACACTGGTGCAGTTTGGGTAAAATAGACCTTGACATTTGGGAGTCGTAGTTGCTGGGATTTATAGTACACCTAGAAAGAGTCCCTTGAACCCCACCAATGGTATAATTGAGTCATACATCCCACACAGAACCTCCATGACCAACAGAAAATACTGTGTTTTCTGATGGCCTTTGGCAGCCCCTCTGTCACCCCCTCTGTCACCCCCATGTCTCAAGACCCCCCAGGGGTCCCAACTCCCAGTTTGAGAAACACTGACCTAATCCTATCTCTAGTCTATCTACTCATAGAGGTCTGGAAACCTGATGACAAAAGAGAGTTGTGCAGTCCAGGGATGAATCCCAACAATTCTGATTGCAAGTGTTGCTGTAGATGCTGTCCCTTGGCTGGCATCTGGCTGTGTGGGTTGTGTCTTCTCAATTTGCTCAAAGGTTAACCTAACAGTAATTAACTGAGTAAAGCAACCAGCATTTTACTTATCTGGAGATAAGCTGATTTGTAAGCAGGTAAATGTATGCCCATCTCTAACAGAGGCTAGAAGCAATTCATTATGTGTTAAAGACGAAATTCACTGTTATCTGTCCTACAGCATAAAAAAAGAAAGGGATTCCATGTCATAGAACATCGTTTTCTGTCAAGAGTGGCCTAAAATATCTTAAAGGCATCAGATCCCATCTGATTCTGGAATCTAAGCAGAGTCTGCCCTCTTGGGGAGCTTCAGTGGGGCACCATCAATTGATACCTGGTGCTATGGGCTATTTTTAAGAAGAAGGAAATGGCAAACCACCTAGCTAGCAAGGTTCAGATTTTATGTTAGGTTAGTCCATTTAGTTTCTTTTACTGAGAATAGGGGCTAGGCAGGAATGATTCTCCAATGTGTAATAACACAGCTCTTGCAAATGATAAGTCGGGATTTTTTGGAGCATTGGCACTTTGAACAAAAACCTTGCTTGAGGAAAATGGCACAATATATTGGTTTTTCTGAAGCTGCATCTGCTGACAATAATGCATTTCTGGTACATCACTATTAAATTGCTGCATGTTGTTTTTGTTTGTGTCTTCATGCTTAATATACACATAGATCTCTTGTCTTTTGTTGATTCTAAACAATCGTTTAAATTGACTTTTAAAAGGATCATGAGGCCCATTGTTTTTGTAAAAGTCAAATGAAAAATTAACTTAAGATGCTTTCATGTGCAAGCTGGTTTTCTGTCTTCTATTTCTCTTATCAATTTATCCCACATTGGGTTGTTGTGTGTTTTCTGGGCTGTATGGCCATTTTCCAGAACATCTCCTGACATTTCACCTGCATTTGTGGCAGGCATCCTCAGAGGTCTGTTGGAAACTAGGAAAATGGGTTTTTTTATATCTGTGGAATGTCCAGGATGGGAGAAAGAACTCTTATCTGTTTGAGGAAAGTGTGAATGTTTCCATTGGCCACCTTAATTAGCATTTTATGGCCTAGCAGTTTCAATGTCTGGCTTCTTACTGCCTGGGGGAATCCTTTATTGAGAGGTGATTAGCTGTCCCTGATTGTTTCTTGTCTGGAGTTCCCCTGTTTTTGAATGTTCTTTATTTACTGTTATGATTTTAGAGTTTTTAAATACTCGTAGCCAGATTTTGTTAATTTTCATGGTTTCTTCTTTTCTGTTGAAATTGTCCACATGATTGTGGATTTCAGTGGCTTCTCTGTGTAGTCTAATTTAGCTGATGAAACGATCACTAATTTAGCTGATGAAACAACTGTGCTGGAGTCAGATATTTTAATTTCCCCTTCTTCTAAGTTGATTTTGATCTTCACAAAATACATAAAGGAGACTGAATATGCATGCAAGAATCTGTCACATCTCAGATTATTTCACTTCTGATTTCTTTGGTGCGTGTTTCTTTATTCAATTTCCTTGCCTTTTGTTGAAAAACCTCTTGTCGAAAATTTAAACCTTGCATTTGGACCAAAACACACACCAGTTTTTTGTTTATGTTAGACCACATGCCCATTAGTTACACTCAAGGAGAGGAGTGGACTGTGGTGTCTTCTAAAGTAAATGAGAATTACAGATAGTGAGTAGTAGACTCCAAAAGTTTGCATGGAAGGAATTCTCCACTCACTATGCCTGCCCAAGAAATGTTGCTAACTATGGCAGTCATAATCAGTCACTCATTTTATGCCCAAATGATTATAAGATTGCTGGTTGATTCTTTATTTAATGTTATAGAGGCATAAGATCCTCAACTGTACCTGAGGGTAGCAGACATAATGTTTCAGCAGAACTTTCTTTGCTTAGTATCCCTCTATATTTGCCACTTGAGGCAGCTGCTTCATTCTACCTAATCATAGAACTAACCCTGCCACTCACTATCCTGCACACAAAAAAAAAGGAATTGTGATGTTTACTTACATGTTATTTTGCACATGGAAGAATCTAACATGTGAAGAACCTATATATTTGAGTATTTTATGACTTTCTGTCCAGTTCTGGGCACTGCAATTTAAGGGAGATGTTGACAAGCTGGAATGTGTCCAGAGGAGGGCGACTGAAATGATCAAGGGTCTGAAGAACAAGCCCTATGAGAAGCAGCTTAAAGAGCTGGGCATGTTTAGCCAGAAGAAGAGAAGGCTGAGAGGAGACATGATGATTGTCCATGTATAAATATGTGAGGGGAAATCATAGGGAGGAGGGAGCAAGCTTGTTTCCTGCTGCCCTGGAGACTAGGATGCGGAAAAATGGCTTCAAACTTCAGGAAAGGAAATTCTACCTGAACATTAGGAAGGACTTCCTAACTGTGGGAGCTGTTCAGCAGTGGAACTCTCTGCCCTGGACTGTTGTAGAGGCTCCTTCCTTGGAGGCATTTAAACAGAGGCTGGATGGCCATCTGTCAGGGGTGCTTTGAATGTGATTTTCCTGCTTCTTGGCAGGAGGTTGGCCCACAAGCTCTCTTCCAATTCTATGATTCTTGCATAAGTGTTGAAAGAACAGCTCTAACAGCTCTTTTCCTAATCTCCTCCCCAATTATCTTCTATATGCAATATAGAAAGACTACCTTAATTTGATATGAATTAAATTGGGGGTCCCTTGGGCTTGAAAATGTACCTCTCAGAGTCAAGCATTGGCAAGCCATTATCATTTTTAAAAGGTGAGATAGATACTGAATATCCTGAAACTGTTAAGATGCAATGAATGTGCTTGTGATGCTTTCCAGAGTATTCACCATTTTTTTTACAGGGGAGAGTTTCAACCTTTGCTGAAGCTCATTCTTTTTGGGATCTGTATTAGTGATAGTCCCCTGACGTTGGTCTGCAGTGCAGTTAATAGTTGTGTGTGTCAAAATGGAAGCAAGCTCTGCAATTGAATGTAACTAAATAACATCAAATAACTAATTTATTTCCAAATGTTCTGGCAGTATAGATTTTTGGCAGTTCTTGAACAAAATACTTCCAAGGAGAGAATGTATGGAATGAGATCCATTCATGTGATTCCATGGATGCAGTAAGTGTTGGGACTTGGAAAAAAAAATCTCCTTTCAAAGTTGAACTCATTCTTAGAGTTGCTATAAAGGGCTTTGGGGAAAGTCATCACTTCTTTTAATGGGAAGTGAAAATAACTATATCTACCTTGTGAGACAAATAAACTAAAGAGGCCAAGAGTTAATCCAGTTGGTGTTCAGTAGAGCTTATTTCTAGGACATGCATAAATTTGCAAATCACAAATTAATTTTTTTATAAAAATCTGCAAGACATATTTTTTTAAAAATCACATTAGTTTGTGGCTGCGTTATAAATCTACTCAGATAGCTAGATAGACTGGTAACAGTTTCTCTTTATCCCTGGAACCCCTGGTAATGCAATGAATTAAACCCTTGTGCTATCAGGATTGCTGACCAAAAGGTCAACTGTTTGAATTCAGGGAACAGGGTGAGCTCCCGTTTGTCAGCACCAGCTTCCCATGAGAAAAGCCTCCCACATGAGAGAAGCCTCCCACAGGATGGTAAAACATCCGTGTGTTCCCTCGGCAACATCCTTGTAGACGGCCAATTCTTTCACACCAGAAGTGACCTGAAGTTTCTCAAGTTGTTCCTGACATGAAAAGAAAACCCCTTTACGAGGGTTGAATGAAAAGTAATGCCTCCACCTTTGTAACTCCTCAACAGATGGCAGTACTGGTATGCGTCAGGTACTGGCTTGTTCAATAGACTCTCCTCTACAGTTCCATTTTGGCAGGAAGCCTTAGCATTGAACGGTTGTGTTGTTAAAGTACAAAGTATGGAACCCTGCGGAGATGATCAGTCAATGCAACTTAAGCAATGTGCAATCATTGAATTCTTGATAGCAGAAGGTGGATTCATCAGAAAATCCAAGCTGTTTATGGTGATTGTGCTGATGTGAGTACTGTGCATCATTGGGCAAGGAAGTTTAAAGACGTTGAAGTTACACCTTCTGTTGTCAAGAATTCAATGACTGCARGTTGCTTAAGTTGCATTAACTGACAGTCTGCACAGGGGTCCATACTTCGCACTTTAACAACACAACCGTTCAATGCTAAGGCTTCCCGTCAAAATGGAACTGTAGAGGATAGTCTACTGAACAAGCCAGTACCTGCCGCATACCAGTACTGCCATCTGTTGAGAAGTTACGAAGGTGGAGGCATTACTTTTCATTCAACCCTCATATTTTCTTCTCTCAGAATAGCTCACTGAACTTTGAAGCYTGATAATAAAACACGCCAGTGTAGAACTTGACGTTAACACATTCTGGCCTAAACTTGAAAATGCCTCTGCAAAAAAAGCTCTATTGCTTTTCTCTCTCTTTACAGGAATTGTTTATCTGCTATCATCTCTCACTCATGTGGAGCATTCCAGTGTGCAGTTGACTGTTTCTGCACGGGATGGCGGTGGTCTTTGGTCTGCTCTGAATGCAGTTGTGACACTAAAGATCCTCCACAGTACCGTGGCGCCTGCTGTCTTTGAGAAATCACGTTACACCTTTTCCATCCCCGAAGATGCCCCTGAAGGAAGTGCTGTTGGGACAGTGAAAGCCAGGGAACCTTTGAGTAAGTGACTTTGGAATCCATTCAGACAGATTCCAGCACACTCTTGATTTGTTACAGGCTCCGCACATCTGCAGCCAATGCTATTTTAAGTGTCATTTCATTCTTTCAATACACAAAACATGCAGAAAATACAAAAAGCTTTGGATTCATCTAGGAGAAATAAGTAGAATGAAATTAGAGTGTTTTATTAAAGTACATGTCTATGGAGTGTTTGTGGGGAGATAACATTAAAAGTCATATAAAGAGATATCATCAGGTTATTGTTGTGGTCTTTAAAAAGAAATTCTATTATAATGGCCAAACTTTAAAAGATATATTGGACACAATTCATTTGCACCACAAGTACACAGCAAACCTGTAGGAGATTCAGCAAAGCCCTGTTTCTTTTTATCTGTCCCATCTATATTTACACATGAGTGATGGTGCTGCCTCCCACCCCTCCACACAAAGAGTTGAGTAATGAATGAGTGATATCAGATGAAATGGAAAGACCCTGCACACCTCCCAGATCCTATAAATCCACCCATTACTTTATTTATATCCTGCCTTTTCCCCAGCCTGCGGCTAAAGGCGGTTACAAAAAGTCATAAAAGATATATAGTTGAAAGCATACAAAAATTAAGATTAAAATAGTTATAAAGAACAACAGAATTGAAACCATTTACAGTCTTACTTGAAAACACAAATTAAAAACAGTACAGCACCATAAAACCCCTTTTATGAAAATCAATTTCGAAAGTTTTTGTCTGCCTCCTAAAGAACCGCAAAGAAGGAACCATTCTAGATTCCCTAGGGCCCTTCCACACAGCCCTATATCCCAGAATATCAAGACAGAAAATCCCACAATATCTGCTTTGAACGGGAGTATATGACAGTGTGGACTCAGATAACCCAGTTCAAAACAGATATTATGGGATTTTCTGTCTTGATATTCTGGGTTATACGGCTGTGTGGAAGGGCCCCTAAGGAAGCCATTCCAAAGTGTGGGAGCAGATCACAGAGAAGGCCTTCAGCCACACTCCCACCAATTGGACTTGTAAAGCTGTCAGGATAAAGATAGGTTTGTTCCACACAGCTGAATAAAATTCCACATTGTCTGCTTTGAACTGGAATACATGCCAGTGTGGACTCAGATAACCCAGTTCAAAGCAGATATTGTGGGATTTTCAGCCTTGATATTCTGCGATATAGGGCTATTTATTTATTTCATATACTTGTACTGCACCATTCTCACTCCCGAGGAGGTACTCAGGGCAGCCTCACAGCAAAAATTACCATCTGCCAGCTACAGAAGGCTACCTTACGCATTATTCACCGATACATCACACAGTCCTAGACACTTGGGAAGTGTCCAACGTGTGATCCAATACAACAGCCAGCAGAGTGTCTGCTGTGGACTCATCTTGTTGTGTTTCAAATAATAATAATAATAATAATAATAATAATAATAATAATAATAATAGAAAAGCTTTTGTGATATGAAGATTTAAAGAGAGAACTGCAAAGACTCTGGCACAAGCCATTAAACATGGTCTCAGTGGTTATTAGCACTCTGAGTGCAGAGCCTAAAGACCTTGGCCTGTACTTAAAAACAATCAGCATACGATCAAATACAAATCCAGCATAGTGATCTTGTTTGCTGTGTACTAATCTTTTTATGTATATAATGATAATGATAATAATTTTCCTACTTTTTCCTATGATGCAACAAATTTTATGGCTACAGAAAATACTGTAGCAATCACAGTATTTGGCAGTGTTACAAATACTTTTAATACTCATATTATAGGAATTTATAAAATATTCTTGGCATTGAGAATTTCTCCTACCCTAATTCTGTGCATACCCTGTATGTGTTATGGCTCCTGGTTTGTATATAGAATGTTCATGGATTGACTGATAGGTCCCAAAACACTTATACTGAAGACATACAATTAAAGTTTACTGGAATGTTGTTGAGTCTGCTTAGAGTAGAATTCCTCTGTTCAATTTGACCTAGTTGGCAAAATTAGTATATTTTAAATGGGATAAATGATATTGATTTCATCATAAAGATTTATCAGACCTATGAGGTGAAAATTCATGTCTCATGAATGGACTAACAGCGTGCCTTTGAGTAAAGTCTGTACAGTATCATTTTTCTGCTTTGCTGTAGAAGCTATAGAAGAAAGAGACAGAAATGCTGAAAGACATTTTGAAAGAGGCTTTAAATTTTCAAGTCATTAAATACCTGGCTGTTGTAGTTTTCTGGGCTGTATTTACTTTATTTACTGTCCTGGTTTACTTTATTTACTGTCCTGATTTTAGAGTTTTTTTTTTAAAAAAATATACTTGTAGCCAGATTTTGTTCATTTTCTTAGTTTCCTCCTTTCTGTTGAAATTGTCCACATGCTTGTGGATTTCAAAGAGGAAAAAATGAAAATGAACAAAATCTAGCTACCAGTATTTTAAAAAAAGTAAATAAAGAACCACACTCAGAAAACAGGGTAATTCCAGACACGAATAAATCAGGGACAGCTAACACCCCCCAGCAAAGGATTCCCCCAGGCAGGAAGCAGCCCAGGCTTTGAAGCTGCAAGGCCATTCGATGCTAATCAAGGTGGCCAATTACAACATTCAGACTTGCCTCCAACAAACAAGAGTTCTTTCTCCCACTCTGGACATTCCACAGATATATAAACCCCACTTGCCTAGTTTCCAACAGCCCTCACAACCTCTGAGGATGCCTGTCATAGATATGGGCAAAATGTCAGGAGAGAATGCCAGTTGGATCTCCAAGGGGAGGGCATTACATTATTGGGTTGCCACTATTGAGGAGTTCCTCCACCATGTCGCCACACTGTATGTCCACCTCAATGGCAGAATATAAAGGAGGAGCCCTTCAAAAGACCCCACTCCTTCAGAAAGACAAATATATATAATAAACCGTGGAGGCCGTGACAGACTTTGTATTTCTAGGTGCAAAGATGACTGCAGATGCAGACTGTGGCCAGGAAATCAGAAGACGCTTACTTCTTGGGAGGAGAGCAATGTCCAATCTCGATAAAATAGTAAAGAGTAGAGACATCAGACTGGCAACAAAGATCCATTGCCTAGTCAAAGCCATGGTATTCCCTGTAGTAACCTACGCATGTGAGAGCTGGACCTTAGGGAAGGCTGAGCGAAGGAAGATAGATGCTTTTGAGCTGTGGTGTTGGAGGAAAGTTCTGAGAGTGCCTTGGACTGCGAGAAGATCCAACCAGTCCATCCTCCAGGAAATAAAGCCCGACTGCTCACTGGAGGGAAGGATATTAGAGACAAAGTTGAAGTACTTTGGCCACATCATGAGGAGACAGCAAAGCCTAGAGAAGACAATTATGCTGGGGAAAGTGGAAGGCAAAAGGAAGAGGGGCCGACCAAGGGCAAGATGGATGGATGGCATCCTTGAAGTGACTGGACTGACCTTGAAGGAGCTGGGGGTGGTGACGGCCAACAGGGCGCTCTGGCGTGGGCTGGTCCATGAGGTCACGAAGAGTCGGAAACAGCTGTACGAATAAACAAAAGGTTATGGGATTTCCAATACAAACTGTATTTATTTATTCACAGTATTTATATTCCACCCTTCTCACCCCGCAGGGGACTCAGGGCGGATTACAATGTACATATACATGGCAAACATTCAATGCCATAGACACACAGCATATATAGACAGACACACAGAGGCTACTTAACATTCCAGCTTTTTGATGAGGATATTCTGGCCACCAGGGGAGCTGTCGCTTCACTGTAAATTTGTGATACTGAAGAAGTACTTCCTCATTCTTTGCATGCTTGCTGGAGATATTTATGGCATTGTAAATTAGTTAAATTAGTCTCCCCACACACTCAGTACTTAAATTTCCTACTTGACAGATGCAACTGTCTTTCAGGCTGTATAGGTCAACAGCAAGCTACACAAATTAGTTGGAAGCTCACTCTGACCTGGCCTAGCTTCCAACTCATGACCTTTCAGTCAGCTATAGGGATAGATTTTCCTTCAATATGAAGCACGGAAGTTGTTTAGAAACTTAAAAGTCATTAGTAGTATCTTGACTTCAGACTGAAAATGTATTGAAGGCCAGGGCAATAATTTTAAGATGGGGTATTATGAGATGCCAATATGATATTCTGGAATTTAGGTAAAAAAACACATGCAGGTAAACAAGGTTATGTGGCAATCCAGCATTCTAGCACAGCAAACAATGACAGCCAAAACTAGAAACAGTTTAAGGAAAATGGAGCTATATAGCAAGATGTGGTGCCAGGTTAGTGAAATAGCCCCCACTCATTGTGTGGCTGTGACTTGTCCACGGCCTGGAAAATTCACAGCCACCCAATGATTTTGGCCATGAAAGCCTTCGATAACTCACTAAATAGATCTTTTGGTCATCTTCTGTTTGATACTGATTTTTTTCCCCTCCTTTTTACAGATTTCTTGGAAATGATTACCTACAGAATTTCCTCTGGCGATCCCTATGGAAAGTTCACTATTGATCCACAGTATGGAATCATCCGCACTAAGAAAAAGCTTGACCATGAAACCCACGATCATACAGTTCTTACAGTGCAGTCACAGCTGGGAAGCTCACCAGTTTATAGCACTACCCAGGTCAATGTAACTGTGATTGATGTCAATGACAACCCTCCCGTCTTTGGGATGGAGCACGATCAGATAAATATATCACGAAACACAGTACCTGGCACAGCTCTTTACATAGCTCATGCAGAAGACAAAGACAGTGGACGAAATGGGGCTATCCACTACTCTATTGTAAGCAATACGTCCAGTGTGTTTACCATTGATCCAGTGTTCGGCGTCCTTTATCTTGCTAAAGCTCTGGCTGCAGACTTGCAGCTTGAGCACACAGAGGCACACATTAAAGCAGAGGATCATGGAAGTCCTCCCCTGAGTTCTCTGTTGATCCTACGAGTATTCATTGATGAACGAAAGGGACGTCCTGCATTCAGTTTTGAAAATTTGGTCTATCAGGTGGACGTTAGTGAATTATCTTCAATTGGGACTAGAATTCTACAAATACAGGCCCGGAAGCTAGATCCTCAGCATATCCTTGAGGATGTTGTTTACTCCCTGGAGCAAAACATAGATTCTGTGTCATTTAGAATTGATCCTGAAACAGGTGTGATTTCCCTACGGCATCCCTTAGACTATGAAAACATGCAGTCACATAATTTCAAAGCCTTTGTTACTCACCCACTTGATAGGTCAGGACAAAATTCGAGTACCTCAGTAATAATCAGTGTTGTTGATGAAAATGACAACTCTCCTGTGTTCATGCATGGTGACTATTTTTTTGAAATTGAGGAAAGTCCATTTCCCCAAGGTGTTGTCGGTACAATTTCGGCGGTGGACAAGGACTCTGGAAGAAATGGGCAGCTCTCCTATTTCCTGTTATCCGATGGAAAATATTTCAAAATTAATTCCAATACAGGTAATACATTTTATTTAATACTGTGGGTCCTTGTGGAATGTGTAGCCTTCAGCTATCCAGAGAAATTCAAATATGTAATGACCCTGATGCCTATGTGTGAGAAAGAGAGATGGAGAATGAGACAAATTGAGACTGAATATTAATGTAATGTCTGTCCAGAGTCGAGGTGAAAGCAGTGAGGAGTCACAGATGCCCAAAGAACAGCTAAATTATAGTTTTTTTCCTCATTAATGAATGTATCTATGTAGCATATTCTCACAAATCTTGTTATCATCATTTTGCACTGAATTCTCAATATATGAAAAGTAGCTGGACTAATGGATACCATCACCTGTGACTCACCAGACCCTCTTCCTTATTGTTTATTCTTTATCTGGTACTTAGAAGCAATCAACTACAACACGGTGCAAAATGATAGTTACTGATACAGATAGGCATGCTACTTGTAGACTGATGAAGAATCTCAAGACACATAGTTGAAAACAACCAGCAAGGATAATTATAAATCACTGTCACTTCTAGTTTTCAAACTTCTGCCAAAGTAAAGTGTTAGAAAATGAGTTGTACAAGATTCCTATATATACGTTACGTAAACACTAGTCTGAGAAATCATCTTTCAGGTCAAATGATAGCCAGACCACCTCAGCTATGAACAAGCATTTGATATCTTGGATTCATTGCTGACCCTGGAGCCTCAGGTGTTGGCGGTGGCCAGGAGTGCCTTTGCACAGTTCACACTTGTGCGCCAGCTGCATCCATACCTTGAGACGCCAGACTTGACCATGGTAGTCCATGCCTTAGTCACATCTAATTTGGACTACTGCAATACTCTGTACGTGGGGCTGCCCTTGAAGATAGTTCAGAAGCTTTAATTAGTACAGCCAGGTCACTAATAGGAGCGCCGCACAGGGAGAGAACCACTCTCATGTTGTGGCAGCTCCACTGACTCCTGGTCTGCTTTTGAGCTAGACACAAAGGGTTGATCATTACCTTTAAAGCCCTAAATGGCTTAGGTCCAGGCTATTTGTCAAATCGCATATCATTGTTTACTGGAATGTTGTTGAGTCTGCATATCATTGTATGCACTAACTCGGGCACTGCGATCAGCAGGGGAGGCTCTACTCTCAGTCCAATGCCCATCTCAAATGCGGCTGGTGGGAATGAGAGAGAGGGCCTTCTCCATGATCGCCCCTCACCTCTGGAACTCCCTCCCTAAAGAAATAAAAATGGTAGATAGACGATGTTATTATTTATTTTTTGGGTTATAATTTGCTGTGGATATTATTTTCGTTGGTTTTATGTCCTTTATTTATTAATTAGATCTGCCATGTTTACCATCTCTCCTCTCTCAGGGACAGAGGTGGGATACAAATTAAGATGACGATGATGATTATATCATCTTCCCCATGTTCATCCCTGGATGTTTACACTTACTTCTAAAATGTGTTCATCTTCCTTCTGTATCCTCCTTTGGCTATCATAGAAACTATCTGCCTTAATCCCTGCTTGTTTCTTATGGATACAATATTTGCAGGGAATACATTTTTGACTGGACTGTGGTTACCTGAAAGTGTGGATATGGCTGAACACCATTAAATTATTTGATTTCTACTCCCAGTGTACTACAGAGTTGCATTGGACAACCTAGATTGTGCTACAGAGATTTCTCCTCTATGAATTTTCTAGATACTCCAGTGCAACACTTTGTTAACTTCTAGGGAACGCATGCCATATAATCACCTAGAAGACTTGGCAGATTCCTAGAAACACTATTTTTCTCCAGGAACGGGAAAGTGAAACTGAGAATATGGGTTCTGCAGTTGCAGGACTCTTATTGTACGTTTTCTTGGTTTATCAGCACAATGCTTTTCCGTGACTTCTTTAGCTTTCCTTCTGCAACTGATCTTTCTTTGTCAGCTTTCAGTTTTTCCACTGGCAGCCAACAGAGCTGAGGTTGATTCAAACTTAAAGTGCCTCCTGTTTGTTCAGTTCTTCTCTTTGTGGTTTTGAGTATGCTTTAAGGCCAGTTTTCTGACAATGCCCAGTAACCTTATGTCACATTGCAAATTGAATATCCAATTAACATTTGGGGCACTGCAAGTGTCTATAGGTTAGTAATATATATAGATAAAGGTTTTCCCTTGACATTAGGTCTAGTTGAGTCCGACTTTGGGGGGTGGTGCTCATCTCAATTTCTAAGCTGAAGAGCCAGCGTTGTCCATAGACACCTCCTAGGTCATGGGTTTGGCATGACTGTAATATATATGTGTGTGTGTGTGTGTGTGTGTGTATACACCCAAGGTAAAGCAAGGGGGGTAGTTTAGTGCAATACAATAAAATGTTGAAAATCAATCTGAAAGGAATATGGAATGAAAATCAGCCACAATAATGAAACTAGTTGGCAGGAGAACCTTTGTCCTATACAGATGTAGAATCTGAGATTTGCTCTCCCCAAAACCTGGACCATTTGCTATTTGGCAAATGATTAAAGCAAAGTGGCTTTAGAGATGGGTCTAAAGAGATAAGGAGGAGTTCAAAGAAATATACCACAGTTGTGTTGCAATGAAGTCCGTGAAAAGTAACTCTTACTTGCTATTTGCCAACAGGCTCTGTGTGGAGAACATCCACAGTATATGATGTTTCAGCCAGCTGGCCAACAACTAAAATATTTTTCAACCTTTTATTTTGCTGGCAGGGAATAGAAAATCTATTTTGGTTTCTTTAGAGCAGCCATGTGGCTTTAAAGTTAGCTTTTTGTGTATCACTTGGAGGATAGTGAAGTTATAATGGCCCCAGGGTATACAAGTACTGAATGACACTCTCTTGCTTGGCTCCATGCAGCACACCTATCAAGTGACAGAAATAGCTTTTTGGCATGTGGTATGAATCTTGTAAAACTGATTGTGTGCAGACTGTAATTCTCCATTCTGTTAATTGTCCTTGTTATCCCAGGTGAAATTATAAACTGGGTTGCATTAGACCATGAGCAGGAAGCTCACCATCATCTGATTGCTCTGGTGACTGACCATGGAGTACCTCCACGTAATTCAACTGTAAATGCTTATATCACAGTGACCGACCTAAATGACAACCACCCGTCTTTTCCCCAGATTCCACTGCATATCAAGGTTTGTTGTAACTCTTGTAAATATTTTCTTTTTCTGTTAAAAAAGGTTCCTTCTGCCAAGTTTATATTAAATGCTTGCATATTATTGCAAGCTATAGGGTAGAAGAGGGAGTCATTTAAATGCATGTTCCACCCAGTATAGGTGTTAAACTCACACTCTGTCCCAATGTAAGCAAAACCCTGTTAAGCCTTGTGCATGAACACACTCTTCTCCATTTCTAGTTGCTGCAGCATACAATAAACTTTAAACCTCTGAGGATGCTTGCCATAGATGCAGGCAAAACGTCAGGAGAGAATGCTTCTAGAATATGGCCACACAGCCTGAAAAACCTACAACAACCTAGTGATTCCAGCCATGAAAGCCTTCGACAATTTAAAAATATGTTTGGAGCACCATCTTGTGGCAATATGTTTAAACTGGCAAGCATATTAAAAGGCACAAGTTGACACATATTTAGAATGCATTAATCAGTGAATTATAATGGTTTGACATCACATTAACTGCCATGGCTCAATGTAATGGAATTCTGAGGTTTCTAGTTTGGTGAGACATATTTACCATTCTCTGTCAAAAATTGCTAAGACCACAACAATATAAACCGCAGAATTCCATAGGCTAGAGCTATGACAATGTCAATGGTTGGTAAATCTGCTTGCAAACTAAAATTAAATTGATCTTGCCTTCAGTTATGAAATTGTGGCATTTGCTACCAGCTTTCTAGTAACTTTATTTATATTTTGCCCTTTTCTGAATAAAAAGACTTTATTTTTATATAGTTTTACAACTTTCTGCTCTCCTGTTGACACATCTATGGAAAATAATCTGGAGTGTACAATCACAGAATCATAGAGTTGAAAGAGACCTCATGGGCCATCCAGTCCAACCACCTGCCAAGAAGCAGGAATATTGCATTCAAAGCACTCCTGACAGATGGCCATCCAGCCTCTGTTTAAAAGCTTCCAAAGCTCCACCACACTCCAGAGCAGAGAGTTCCACTGCTGAATGGCTCTCACAGTCAGGAAGTTCTTCCTCATGTTCAGATGGAATCTCCTTTCTTGTAGTTTGAAGCCAATGTGACTTTAAACACTATATTACACAGTACCAGGTTTTCTGGAAAATTAGGAATAGAATATAAGAAGCATAGATGTGTGAATAAATATAGAAATAGAAAGATATTTCTAAGAAACTATTTGAGATTTGTACTAATTTAGTTACTAGTAAAGGTAAAGGTTTCCCATGACATTAAGTCTAGTCGTGTTTGACTCTAAGGGGTAGTGCTCATCTCTATTTCCAAGCTGAAGAGCCAGCATTGTTCGTAGACACCTCCCAGGTCATGTGGCCGGCATGACTACATGGAGTATATTACCTTCCCACAAGAGCATTACCTATTGATCTACTCGCAGTTGCATGTTTTTGAACTGCTAGGTTGGCAGAAGCTGGGGCTAGCATCAGGAGTTCACCCCACTCCCCAGATTCAAACTGCCAACCTTTGAGTCAGCAAGTTCAGCAGCTTAGCAGTTTAAGCTACTGTGCCACCAAGGGCCCAATTTAGTTACTACAAATCACTAAATGACAGGTTTTGTGAGGCTGAAGCACAACAAGTTTGTGTTTAGTTTGTCCTTGAAATTTGGAAATTCTAGTTTTAATTGTTCTCCTTGTCATTAGATTTTGGAAGGGCAACCAGCAGGAACACTTGTTGGCACCATAATTGCAAAAGACCTTGATTTTGGAAACAATGGGAGAGTGCTATACTCATTGTCTGCAGGTGAGAATTTCTTATTTGTTGAATATCAAAATATCTTCGGTGGAAATGAGCCTGCAGCCCATAGCTTAAACATATAGCTTGGCTGTATCTGTCGCTATCACTTCATTCAAGGTCCCATCTACACTGCCATCTAATGCAGTTTGAAACTGCATTATATGGGCAGTGTAGACTCATGTAATGTAGTTTAGCTGCATTATATGAGTCTATACTGACCATATAATGCAGTTTGAATGTAGATGGGGCCTAAGACTCAATAGTGAATTCCATGGTTCTCAGAGATGGCCTTTGCAATATAGAGGTCCATTACAGAAAGAAGACTCCTTTCAATTTCCAGTCATTCGAGATGACATTGTGGTGAATTACTATTTGTAAAATTGGCTGTTCCCCATAGATGGCATATGGTTGGTTACTTTGGTTAAAGCAGTGGTTCCCAACCTTTTTTAGACCAGGGGCCACCTGATCAGGGACCACTTTGACCAGGGACCACTCTCCAACATTAGTACCAAAACTAATGTTTTTGGTCAACTTTAGATTCGATTTGGTTATTTGGGGTGCTGATTCAGAAAATTGCATTGGATAGACCACATCAGCTCTAGTTTTTGATACAGAACATATGCCATGCAGTAGTCACCATCTGCTTGCTGGAGATATTTATTTAACCATATTTAACCATATTTAATAATCCATATTTAATAATCCATATTTAATAATCCATATTTAATAATCTAGAGCTGATGTATTAATAGTAATCTTTCGTGGGTAGTCAGTATCTCCCCTCCCGACATCCCTAGGAGGATATAAGATGGTTTCACGTGACCAGTCGCTCCTGTTGCTGCATGGTTTCGAGGCAACGGTGTAGTAATGCTGAGGACACGAACCATATTTTCATTCTTGGGGACTACTGGTGGTCCATGAACCACAGGTTGGGAGCCTTGGCTTGAAAAATTGACATCCCTTTAAAGGGAATTCGTTCAAGCTGAAGATGAGAGACCAAATATCATGATGGGAATGCAGGTCTCTTTTAGAAATGTGATATATTTTTCCTGCCTTGTTATTGGAGAAAGTTTCTGCACTGCAAAGTATATAGTATGGGGAAAATGGGGCAAGAGAGCAGGAGGTAAATTGGGAGTTACTACAAGAGAGAGATGTTCTTGTTTGCATAGTCCTTTCCTAATACACATTTATGTTAACCATGATGCCTGTCTTTTAGGGGAAAGCTTGGGTCACTTTAAGATTGACAGCAGCAGTGGTGAGTTAAGAACCACCGAAGCTCTCTTGTACAGTTGGCATTCAAACTACAAAATGGTTGTCACTGCTGTTGATCAGGGAATCCCTCCACTTCAAGGACAGACAGCCATCAGTGTTGAGGTATTGATTTAAACAGGCATTGCTTTCTTGAGGTAAGGCATCTTGAGCAAATGGCAGTACCAAGATACATGAAGGACCCCCATGCAGAATATTTTTTTGTGGAAACAGAAAATGTTTTTATCCGACGTTACATAAGGGAATGACAGACTTAAAAGTAGCAGACTTAAACAACAGCAGCACCAAGTGATAGCTGACAATTTTCAATTATAAACTGTAAACATATCTGAAGCCTCCAGAAAAATTACTGTAATCCAAACTACGTCAATCATATGTAAGTCCTTCTGAAATCAATGTAAAGAGTTAATCATGGCTTAGTCCTCATTTAAATGGGACTGTCTGAATCAAGCCCTGCATCTGTGTGTACTTTTATCAAGTTGCCCATATATACTTGAGTATAAGCTGACCCGAATATAAACTGAGGCACCCAATTTTAGCACAAAAAACTAGGAAAACGTACTGACTCGAGTATAAGCCTAGGATGGGAAGTGCAGCAGCTACTAGTAAATTTCAAAATAAAAATAGATACCAATAAAATTACATTAATTGAGGTATTAGTGGATTAAATGTTTTTGAGTATTTACATAAAATTATAATTTAAGATAAGACTGTCCAACTCTGTTTACACCATTTTTGTAGTCTTCTTCAATGTAAATGTGCTTATGTATCCTTCCAATAATAATAGAGTAAAATAATAAATGTAGTAATAATAGTAATAAAGAGAATAAAATAATAAATGTAATAACAGTAATAAAGAGTAAAATAATAAATGTAATAATAACAATAGAGAGTAAAATAATAAATGTAATAATAATAGAATACAGTAATGTAAATTTAATAATAATAATAATAAATAGCATAAAATAATAAATGTAATAATAATAATGATGATGATAATAATAACCCAGTAAAATAATAAATAACTTTGACTCCAGTGTAAGCTGAGGAGAGCTTTTTCCACCTAAAAAAAGGGCTGAAAAACTGGGGCTTATACTTGAGTATATATGGTAATCCTTTTGCTGATCTTGCTGGCCCAATAAGATTTTTTGAGGGGAAGTTTGGATTCTCCTCTGATTGCTGATCTCAACACATTTACTTGGCATCCCAACCATTGGTTTGTTCCATCATTCACTAGTGAACAACATTTCATACAGTAAGACTCCCTTATCCACGGGGATACTTTTCGAGATCTTTTGTGGATACTTACAGATAGTATTGAATCCTATATTTCAATATCATGGTTGACTACTTAAACTTAACTCATTCAGTTTAAGCAGTTGGCCGCAGATTGAAAATGTAGAGTTTGATTCAAAGTTAAAAGAGGTTTGAAAACAACACTTCCTTGACCAAGAAGAGTCCCACCTCCACTCACCAGCTGTTGATTCGCTCCCAGATATCATCCGGAAAAAGTAAAATAGATTACAAAACTGCAAATATCTGTCCGTCCGTCTATCCATCTATCTATATTCAAAATGTTGTTCTTAAATTTCAGGTAATCCCACTTCCTAAAGGAAGAAGACCTTTCACCCCAAACATCAGACATTTTGTTGTACCTGAAAATTTAAGACCTGCTCAAATGCTAAGCTCTCTGAGACTGCCTAGTCAGAATCCGTATTCCAGCAAAAAACAACATTTCACCATCTTTGAAGAAGATTACAGTATTCCATTTGAAATTGACAGTACTACCGGGGATCTATTTCTATCCAAAGAACTTGATTATGAAACACAATCTCACTACTTCTTTAGAGTTGTTGTCAATGATTATCCGCACAGACCTCCGCAGAATAATACTGTTTTTCTCAGTATTGATGTTGAAGATCAAAATGACCACTCACCCTCTTTCCAGAATGACTTTGTTGTAATTGGGATAGAAGAAAATGTGCCCGTTGGTACTTTGGTGTATACCTTTCATGCAAGAGATGATGATGCCAGCTTTTTAAACAGTAAACTTCAGTATTCTATGCACATGGAAGACTTCACTGAAAATCCATTTCTCATCCATCCTTCTTATGGTAGCTTAATTACAGCAGTTCCCCTTGACCGAGAGATCACACAGTCTATTGTCTTGACAGTATTTGCAGTAGATCAGGCTGTAAATTTGACTGATCGCAGGCAGAGTTCCCTGACAGCAAAAATTGTCATTTTAGATGTCAACGACAACAGTCCTCGTTTTGTTTCATCTCCTGTTTCTTACATTAGAGAGGATGCAGAAGTGGGCTCATTTGTGCATCACATAATTGCCCAGGATCCAGACCAAGGAAGGAATGGGCAGGTCACATACCATCTTCTAGCCAACAGTAAATGCCAGGGATTTGCTATTGATAAAAACACAGGTAAATTTTTATATATATATGGTATACTAAAAAGCTAAAGTTGTCAAATTGGAATTTTAGTTATTTTTCACCTTTTGATTGAACTCTGAAAACAGGTGGTTAATATTGCAAGTGAAGCAAGAGTGCAGCAGAAGACAATAGAATGCTGCAGTTTCAGTACACAATGTAAGTCTAAATGTATATTTTAATTAATGAGTATCTCAGCTCGAGTGACAAAGCATCAAAGAATACAGGAATGGGCTGACATACTCAATATCTGCATGAACACAAGTTACTACTGGTAACTATTAGATGGGAACTGTCCAACCAGCCAAAACCTATGGTTTGAAACTCAGTTTCCAGATGTCACATTCACATTTGGAAAGATGGTGTCATAACCAAAAAGGTCCTCCTCCAAATAGCCACCAGTCTTGCACCTGTTGGCTAATAAATTTAAACTACAGCCTCAAATGTTGACAAAAAGATGGCCCATAAGAATCCAAAGTTAAGATTATAGTTAAAAATAGTATGCCAGAAGAGATTTTGCTTTTGAACCATTTTGTTATTGTGTACTTTCAAGTTATTTTCTACTTAAGGAGATCCTAAAGTGACCCTGGTGCTGAGAATGGTGGACTCAACCAAGGTTGCCTACTATATTTCTATGGGCCCTTCCACAGAGCCCTATATCCCAGAATATCAAGGCAGAAAATCCCACAGGAACTGGTTTATCTGAATCCACACTCAGATTATGTGGAATTTTCTGCCTTGATATTCTGAGATATAGAGCTGTGTGGAAGGACCCTATGACTGAGCAAGGGATTAACCCTGGTCTCTTGTCATGCAACCCTTGTCATCCAACACTTAAATCACTATGTTATTTCGGTTCTTGCAAAGTGTAATCTTTGCATAGAAAACTGCATATTTGATTGATTACTATGGAATTGTAAATGTTACATAATGAGTCTTATTTTGGTTTAAATGTGGATCTGCAAGAGTATTGGGTCGGATGGTTACTTTTTATGTGTTTCTCCTTTGTACGGCATTGAATGTTTGCTGACTTTGTTGTTCACTGCCTTCAGTCCCTTTGGGGAAATAGGACGGTATGTAAATAAATTACAGTAGAGCCTCGCTTATCCAACATAAATGGACTGGCAGAACGTTGGATAAGCAAAAATGTTGAGTAATAAGGAGGGGTTAAGGAAAAGTTATGATTTTAACTAATTAAGCACCAAAACATCTTGTTTTCCAACAAATCAACAGAAAAAAGCAGTACAGTACACAATAACGTTAGATAGTTATTACTGTATTTACAAATTTAGCACCAAAACATCACAATGTATTGAAACAGCTGTGGATCCGGGCGGGAGGCAGACTGCGTTGGATAATACAGAATGTTGGATAAGCAAGGTTGGATAAGCAGACATTATTATTATTATTATTATTATTATTATTATTATGTTTTTACCTGTGATTTGGGATCTAAAACCATGCTTTTAGTTCTAAGCTATGGCCAGAGCAAACCATAGATTCCATGTGACATCTTTGAAGTTCATGATAGTAATGCACTGCTTAAATAATTAATGCTCGTTTCTCCTCTTTCAACAGGATTGCTAGTGACCATCTTTGCTTTGAATCGTGAATACCAAGAATATTACAATTTGACAGTTGTTGCTATTGATGATGGTACTCCAGCACTATCTGCAACTCAGAGTCTGACAGTAATTGTCCTTGATGTAAATGATGAGCCACCAGTGTTTACAAAAGCTGTATATGAAGCATCTATCTGTGAAAATACAGATCCAGGAGGAGTTATTATTAAAGTTGAAGCCACAGATAAAGATTCAGGTAACCTTCAAATGTCACCTTCAACTTTACAAAGTCAGCAAACTTGCTTCCCTTTTTTATTTATATAACTTCAGGTTCTGAAGATCAACAATGATTTTTTTGACTCAAATAAGAATGCAATAAGATTTTTAAAAGGTACCCTTGTCAATGTTTTCCAGTGGTTTGCCTTGCTCATATTATCACATCTTAATTTCTCTAATGTAAATTCATGTTGAAAGAGGCACAGTTTCACAGTGTTACCTTGACTTAAGAATTTAATTTGTTCCATGACCCTGTTCTTAAGTCAGAACATTCTCATCTCAATTTTCCCACTGAAATGCATTGAAATACTATTAATCCATTCCAGCCCCTCAAAAACCACACCATTTTTGTTATGTGTGTTTAAATAAGAAAATGTACTATATAAATAACAAATAATGTATAAAAACACATTCACAAGGAACAATAAAAAAGAAAGATCAAATTTTAAATGGTAGAAACACTAAGTTATGGCAAGGAAGTACATTTGAAGCAACAAAATGTGTGTTGGCTAGTGTAACAGCAAGGCAAAACAGCATCATTTTCTTCATTCTGTAATTCCAGCCTCCCTTCCTCTCTTGCTTGCCCTCTCCCTCTCTCTCTTCTTGAAGTGAAACATACAGTACCAGGAATAAAAAGCATACAAAGTGAACTAACCCAAAATTCCTCAGTGGACAGCAATCTCCCAAAATGGAGAAGAGCACATGGCAAGCAGGCAAAGGCACACAGGCTGAGGCATTGAGTCATGAGGTACAATAACTTTTCCATTCTGCTGGAAGCCCTGTATTCTCACATTAGGCTGTGGCTTTGCTGCACCAAGATGGACTGCAATTTCTGGAGTCAGATCTCCAGATTGGACTCCTCCCAGAATGGTCAGGGGAAGCAATAACATGGAGCTGGAGTTCCTGCCTTGCAGGAAGAAAACGAATAGCTACTTCAGCTAGGAATCTGGTCCAAGTTTTGTTTCTTTCTGCCCTCCTGTTAGAACTGGTTTAGGGGGCAAAGATGCCCTTTTTGTACTGTTGGTGGGTCAGAGCAGCGTTTGGATATCAAAAGTCACTCTAGGCCACGTGAGGATTTGTAAGTTAAAACATACTTATATTGGGACATTCATATGTGGAGTTTCTACTGCATATCAGATCTAGAGTGAAAGTGCCTAGTTCTTTTCTTATAGACAAGGAACTGTTATACCTTCATATCAACACCAGCCAAAAGATGAATACCCAAGATTGGGATAAAGTAGACAACTTCACCTACAGAAAAATGGAGAAAGACATGGGTCACCACACTAAAAGACAGAAACAAAAATTCTACAAATGCCAAAAGCAACAGCTGAAACCAGAACTGGATTCATTGTGGCCCATCATCAATCTGACTGATCAGCAACTCTCAGGTGATGAAGTATCCATCCTACCAAAGGAACTGTTACCACCACCAGGATCCCAGTAAAAAACATTATTGTCAATCAGAGATCAACAAATGTTACTTTTAGCAAAGGATAAGAGGGAGCCTCTAACTACAGCAGGAGTCTGCAGTTGTGGACAAGTCTACATAGGGATCACAATGGACAATTTCAACAGAAAGGAGGCAACCATGAAAATGAACAAAACCTGGTTACCAGTATTAAAAAACACCAGAAGCAAGACAATAAATAAAGAACTCAGAAACAGGGGTATTCCAGAATACCAGACAACAAATAATCAAGTGCCAGTTAACACCTCCCAAACAAATTATGCCTCCCGACAACAACAGCCAACAAATACCCTCCCTGATTGACTTTGCAACTGCAAGGCTACTCAATGCTAACCAAGTTTGCTAATTGCAGCATTCATAGAATCATAGAGTTGGAGGAGAGTTCATGTACCATCCAGTCCAGCCCCCTGCCAAAAATCAGGGAAATCACATTCAAAGTACCCCGGACAGATGGCCATCCAGCCTCTGTTTAAAAGCCTCTAAATAAGGAGTTCCCACCATACTCGGGGGCAAGGCTCCATTGGTGAACAGCTCTCACAGTTAGGAAGTTCTTCCTAATGTTCAGCTAGAATCTCCTTTCCTGTAGTTTGAAGCCATTGTTCCATATCCTAGTCCCCAGGGCAACAGAAAACAAGCCTGCTCCCTCCTATGACTTCCCTCATATATTTATGCATGGGTATCATGTCTCCTCTCAGCCTTCTTTTCTTCAGACCAAACATGCCCAGCTCTTTAAGCCGCTCCTCATACAGCTTGTCCTCCAGACCCTTGCTTCAAACTGAGTTTCTCCCACCCTGGACATTCCACAGAAAAATATACACTCCACTTGCCTCATTTCCAACATACCTCTGAACAAGCTTCTGAGGATGCTTGCCACAGATGTAGGCGAAACATCAGGAGAGAATGCTAATGGAACATGGTCATACTTCCTGAAAAACTCACAACAACTCAGACCCATATTATTTAGAGAGAAATGTCCCTCCATAGAGGGATAAGATCAGGAAAGTAGTCATGTCTTTCTCCTCAAGATTAGATATGGATAGTTGAGTCACACTGGATTTGTGGTAATGATGTTCTCACTGTTTGGGGATACCTGTACTGAGCTACTGATGTATATTGAAAACTGATTGAGTAAAGAAGATGGTAATAATGTAAGTCATGTATTAATTTCATCTGGCCAGAGTGGGGCACTGTAATCCCAGTGTTTTTCCCACCTCTGAAAAGCTGAGAAGGATTGTGAACTAGATAGTATGTGAACTTTTCAAATATAAAAAGTAACAGAGTGAAGTGTTACTGTGTGTTTTATTGGGCTTTCAAAATGCTAAATGCAGAAACTGAAAAGACTGTCAGCTGAGATGAAACATTTACTAAGCAGAACAACAAATGTACAAACAAGTCGAAGCAGAGGTTCTCTTTGCTAGTTCCCCGATAACTTTCATGGAATTTACATCTGCATCAAAATGCAAAATGACTAGCTGGTGCATGAAGTTTCATTTGCAACAAAACAAATCAAAACACCAATTGGAAGTTCTAATTTGGGGCCAGTCTTGGCAAAATCGAAGGCTTTGACTGGGATCTTCTGTCAAACAGCAACCTTCATGGTCAGCATTACTCTTTTCCCAGAAGACTCATTTTTGAATTGTTCACAATAGCAAGCACATGCAAATATTGTACTGGAATTAGTTGTCCAATGGGATAATTTTGGCAGATTCAAATGAACATGCGTTTGGAACACCCTCAAATGTCCAAAATGGGTAGGAGTACAGCAGGAAACAGAATTCTTCAAGTAGGTAAATTTCCCTGCTTGATCAATGGTGAAGAGAACAGTGTTCTGCTGCTTTGTGTGTGTGTGACAGAATTGGCCATCTGCAAGGATGTTGCCCAGGGGATGCCCAGATGTTTTGATGTTTTACCATCCTTGTGGGAGGCTTCTCTTGTGTTCCCACATGGGGAGGTGAAGCTGACAGAGGAAGCTCATCCACGCTCTTCCCGGATTCCAACCTCTGACCTAGCAGTCTTCAGTCGTGCTGGCACAAGGGTTTAACCCATTGCGCCACCCGAGGCTCCTAGTGCTCTGCTGCTATAATAGAGTAACTGTTTCTGATTTGTTTATTCATGAATTGTCTTATAATTAATTCATTTGATAAATATCTAAAAGAAAATAAATAATTTCCAAAAGCAATCAAAATTCATTCTTGGTCACCCTTGTACTGAAAATTAGATATCCATCTAGAAAACAATAATATGAAATTACTTATATTCTGCTCTATCTCTCAGAGAGGACTCAGAACGGATTACAGACTACACACATATGGCAAACATTCAATGCCATTATACAGTTAACAACAAAGACATACAGTACATAAAGAGGTAAAGGCTTCCCCTTTTTCATCTCTAGCATTTGGAGGCTGTGCTCAACTCCGGCCATGGGGAGATGCTCTTGTTCCATTTTCCATGCCAAGGAGCCTGTTGTCTGACATATTGTTGTTATGTCTGCATGGGTGCTTTTACCTCCCCATCAAAGGGTTACCTATTGATCTACTCACATTTTTGTTTTTGAACTGCTAGGTTGACAGAAGCTAAGGTTAACAGTGGGAGCACACCCCAACCCATGGCTTTGAACTGCCAACCTTCCAGTCTGCAAGTTTTTCTGCAGCTGGTGGTTTAACCTGCTGTGCTACTGAGACCCCATTACAAGCACCAAGGCTATTAATGTTGTTATTGATATGCTTACAATTTATTGAGTTTTCTTTTGTATTTAAGGAATCAACTCCCTGCTTCAATATGAAATTTTGCCTGGACCTGGATATGAGAATTTTCAAATAAATTCAAAGACTGGGGAGATTACAGCAGCCATTGCTTTTGACAGGGAGACTCAAGAGTTATTTACTATTAAAGGTAAAACTGTTGAGACGTTTCATAAAGCGTTTGATACTACATAGGTATCTGTTGACTTGAGATTAATAATGTTGCATATATCAAGTGAGAGAATGTTGCTTTTGAAGTTAATGTTTAATGATATCTGCATGGAATAAATGGTCAGTCACATATATTTGGCATCAACAAAATTAATAAAAATAAGCACATATTGTTTGGAAAAAATAAACGTTGCATTTTGTCTTAGAATGAATAGAATGTAGTGTTTAATTTTCTCATATTATTGATTGGTAGTATCACTATCCTTGCTGTTATAAATTAGCTCTCATATGTGCCTTCCTGTTCAGTGCTGGTCCAAGACAGTGGAACTCCCATTTTATCCAGTATCACATCTGTCGTCTTTAGAGTACTGGATGAAAATGACCATACACCCAAGTTTCTCCTTCCAAACTATGACATCCAAATTATGGAAAACCAAAAGCCTTCAACTGTTGCTACAATGTTGGCTGTGGATAAAGATGCTTCTAATAATGGAACTGTGCAATACCGAATTATTGGTAAGATGAAAAATTTTGTGTCAGTTAAATTTTCTGTGTTGTCGAAGGCTTTCATGGCCAGAATCACTGGGTTGCTATGTGTGTTCCAGGCTGTGTGGCCATATTCCAGAAGTATTATCTCCTGACATTTCATGGCAGGCATCCTCAGAGGTTGTGAAGTCTGTTGGAAACTAGGCAAATGGAGTTTATATCTCTCCGGAATGTCCAGGGTGGGAGAAAGAACTCTTTGTTGGAGGCAAGTGTGAATGTTGCAATTGGCCACCTTGATTAGCACTGAATGGCCTTGCAGCTTCAAAGCCTGGCTCCTTCCTGCCTGGGGGAATCCTTTGTTGGGAGGCCAACAAAGGAGGCAGAGCACTTGATGAACCAACCTGGGCACAGCATATTATTTGATACCACAGAAATGCTGGACCACTCTAACAACCACCATGTCAGACTACACAGAAAAGCTATTGAAATCCACAAGCATGTGGACAGATTCAACAGAAAGGAGGAAACCATGAAAATGAACAAAATCCGACTATTAGTATTTTTTTTTAAAAAAACCCTCTAAAATCTGTTTGTTTTTAGGCAGGAAACAACCAGGGCCAGCTAACACCTTTTGTTTAATAGGATTTCATATTCAGAATTATAGATTTCCTGTTACCTACCACTCCTCAAGGACTGAATGCAATTTTCCTGCTTCTTGGCAGGGGGTTGGACTGGATGGCCCATGAGGTCTCTTCCAACTCTATGATTCTATGACTGCAACCAAAAGTGCAGCTAATTTCAAATCTTCAGTTGCAGACTAATTGAGCTCTTAGTATCTCAGCTTACTTTAATCTTAGTTATTATAATTTTTTTGAATTGTGAACATGCTGATAGCTCACTGATAGCACATATGACTTTGCTTTGAGAAGGTTCCAGTTCCTAATTTCTTCATTTATTAGGCCATATAATAGTTGATATGAAGACCTCTGTGAGACTCCCAAGAGCCAATATTCAGCCAGATCACCTAGCATTTTGAACCAGTGGAGTAGTCTTTGTTCACAGACAAATTGCTCCAGGATTTTCTGTGTTTATGTCCTTCTTATATTTAATGTTGTAAATATTAAACTTGAAAATGAACGTATATAGGAGAGGGGCAAAAAAGACTCATTTGCTGTTGGCCATTACAATTTTGGAGACAGTAGATTCTTCTGCATCAGTGATGTTGTTTATTTGACCATGATTTTATGTGTTTTGTTATGTTTTTCTTGGCATTGAATGTTTGCCAATTTTTGTTGTAAACTGCCCTGAATCCCTTTTGGGAGATAGGATAGGATAGAAATAATGTTGTTGTTGTTGTTGTTGTTGTTGTTGTTGTTGTTGTTGTTGTTGTTGTTATTCATGACTGAGTCAAGGTGAGTAGAAGGAAAACATCCATCTGAGAACTAAAATTCAACTCCACTAAGAGTACATTAGGCACCTGTGTAATTGAGTTGTGTTAGGTTGTTCTGTAACATTTGTAACTTCTGCCTGCCTGCCTGCCTGCTTGCGTGCATGTGTGTGTGTGTGTGTGTGAGAGAGAGAGAGAGAGAGAGAGAGAAAAAGAGAGAAATTTTCCTCTCCCAGGCAAGAAAAAGCCAGAAGAGGGGCATCTCCCCCTATGAACCATCACAGAGGTTAAGGTCATACACAAGCTGTGTCTGCTTCCTTAACCTCATTGCTGAAACCCAGGCTACCTTGAAGAGAAAAAAAAGGCCAGATCTAGCCATATTTTTCAGCTGCAGACTGAATACAGCTACCTGACTACCCAGCTGTTTTCAGGAGGCACACGAAAACAGATATAGGGGTCTATCAGAATCCAGCCAGGAGAAATGGATCAAGGTTCAGCTGAAATGCACAATGAGAGTGCTCAGACTGGGAATTTGTATGTGCGTTTTTAAAAATGTTTTCTTTTCTCTTTTGAAGGTGGAAATGTTAGAGGCTACTTTGCAGTGCATGAGACATCAGGAGATATCTTTACCACTTCCAGTTTAGACAGAGAGAATGACAGCAATTTCACCTTGATTATTGAATGCATTGACCTGGGCATTCCCCCAAGGACCTCTGTCACCCAGCTTCAGATCACAGTCCTGGATGAAAATGACAACAGCCCCTTGTTTTTGAAGGACCATTATCATATAAGTGTCAGCGAAGATATTGGGGAAGGGTCAACCATTCTTGAATTGCTGGCAATGGATGCAGATGAGGGTCCAAATGGAGAAGTCACTTACTCTCTTCTTGATGGCACCTTTGGTTCATTTGCTATTGACAGAGTTACTGGATCCATCATTACTACTAAACCACTGGACCGAGAAAGAAAAGCTCAATACATACTTAAGGCTGTCGCAACAGACTCTAGTATCCTGGGACCAAGGAGCACAAGTGTTAATGTCGTTGTGCATATTGATGATGTCAATGACAACAGCCCTTTTTTCCTACAAAATCCTATCAAATTATACATTTCCACTCAAACACCCATAAATCATACGATAGTAACTGTGAGAGCCAGCGATATAGACCTTGGATTAAACGGGGCTACAATTTTTATGTTTGCGACACCGGAAGCTATGTTTGAGCTGGATCCAAAAACAGGAGATATCTCTCTGCAAAAACATGTACTTCGTGAAGGTTTTATTACCCACTTCTTAATCACAGCTTCAGATCAAGGTGTCCCAGCAAGAACAGCTACCACACTTTTGTCTGTTCATTCTGAAGGACAAAGAGAGACGATTGCATTCAGTCATGCCCAGTACGAAGTAACGGTACCCGAGAATAGCAAAAAAGGTGAGTTGTTGAACATAATTTGTATTTCTACACCGCAGACAAAACTGTATCATCTGGAATATTGCAAGTAGTTAAAGGTCACAAAGACCTTATTAAGGAAGACAGGGTAAATTGGAGGTTAGGGTCTGATGCTTAATTTCTTTTGCAAGGCCATTCTCCTCTACAGATCTGTTCTATTGGATTTCCTGAAAAGAAGAAAGCAGGGTTAGAATTGGAAATTTACTTCCCCCATTCCCCCTCTCATCCTTTTGGCTTTTTGTGATCCAAGTTGGCCGAGGACCATGGGGACTTTATTTTACAGGCCATGTCCATTTCTGTTATCCCATCTGAGGATAGCCAAGTGATTTTGGGCCATTTCTTCATTTTTCCACCCTTTGTCTGCAATGTTTTGGTTATTTTAAAAAAATGTCTTTTGTCTGACGAGAAAATATTGGTTTCAAAATCTTTCCGAAGTATTTTGGGGTGTTTTTGTTGGCCCAATAAAGATATTACCACCACATAGATTTTTAAAACTGAAAAAATGTGCTTTTGTACTGTCCCAGAGTCCTCAAAACAAAATCCCAAAAGAATCATGTTTCTGTTAGTTTCTTAAGTATATTCCTGGGCATCTGCTCCAGATCAATTGCAAATGTGTTACACATAATTTGTCATGTTTGACTTACATAGATATATCTTAAATTCCAACTCTGTAGAAACAACATAGGTAATAGATTTGCAAGGCTTCCTGTTCACTATAGAGAAAAGAAGTTACAGAAGCAGGCAAAGCAATCTGAATTCACAGATATACAGGTTAGTGGTGCTTTAGATGGGATAGAGAGGCTCTCTCTATGTGTATGATTCCAACTTCTAGATACCTGCTGAAAACTCTGCAGGTGTTATCTGCTGGTAGCTATATATGATCATTGTCCACCTCAGGTTTGCTCTTAAGGGCTGCAGTCCTAAGGAGGCCTTCATGGGATGAAGTTCCATTGAAATCAGTGGAATTTGATTTTTAGATAAACATGGTTAGCATTTCATTGGGCTACAAAATTCTCAGCAAACAAACAGGCAGCAGGTTTGCTTGTCTTGTATTATTTAACTTTTTTCATGTCAGGAGTGACTTGAGAAACTGCAGGTCACTTCTGGTGTGAGAGAATTGGATATTTGCAAGGACACTGCCCAGGGAGTATCCTGATGTTTTTTTATGCTTTTACCATTCTTGTGAGGCTTCTCTCATGTCCCCACATGGAGCTGGAGCTGATAGAGGGAGCACATCCATGTTCTTCCTGGTTTGGATTCGAACCAGCAACCTTTAGGTCAGCAACCCCAAGCTTCAAGTCATCAGTCCTGCCAGCACAATGGCTTAACCCACTGAGTTGCCGGGGACTCCATTATTGAAATACTCCCACTGATATAAAATACAATTCTATGGTCCCATTTAATTGCATAATTTTTTGGAATTCAGAAAATCATTTGCTGATTTAATGTCTTCCCACTTACAGCACACCTGTGTAGAAACATACTACCTACACACCTGTAGGTAGTATGTTTCTACACCGAGACTAATTGACCAGGGACCACTTTGACCAGGAACTACTCTCCAACATTAGTACCAAAAGGGTCGCAAATCAACTTTTGGTAAACTTTAGATTCAGTTTGGTTATTTGGGGTGCTGATTCAGAAAATTGCATTGTATAGACCACATCAGCTCTAGTTTCTGATACAGAACATATACCATCCATTAGTCACCACCTGCTCACCCACAAAAAAAATATTTAATATGCCTCGGCACTATCATGAGACCAATCATTCTCGTTGCAACAGTGTAGTAACAGTGAGGCCACAGACCATATTTTAGTTTTTGTGGACCTCTGGTGGTCCACAGACCACAGGTTAGGAACCATTGATCTAAATGATTAATACCAGCTAGAGAAAGCATTTATTATTTTCTCTGGAGTATATAAATATTACTCACTTTTTAAAAGGGCAATCATTTTTATTTGTGTACAATTAAACAACTTGGCCTGTCTCTTACTTATCTGAATATAAGAATATAAAATGCTTTTAACCTTTCTTCTTTCTTCCTCTTGTCTGTTTTCTCTATTTCACAGGTTTATGGTTTTTAATCACATTCTGTTGTGTTTTCCCAAGATTAATAATGCCAGCTTTCGTGCACAAATAGTTCACCTCTCTTCATTGTTTATGGTGTTATGTACATGATTTTTAATAGATAAACACCCAATGATTAGACTTACAGCATGTAAATTAATCTGATATTGAAACAGTCTGCTACAAATAAGGCCTTGTAAAGGTTGTGGCTTGACATTATAAAAATGGAGTTGTGGTATAAAATTGAAACAGTTCGTTTCTAACTAGTAATAAATATAAGTAAGTGAACCAAGAACTCTTGGGATAAACCATAATGCTTGTTACATTAAAACATTTTACTATGTTTCAACATAGAAAGAGACTTAGTAGAGCAACTATTTGCTATATAGGATCTACAATACCTTTCCTCAATATGTTGCTTTCCATCCACCATCACAGGAAGCATTAGGCTTGTGCATTTCAGCTGAACCTTGATCCATTTCTCCTGGCTGGATTCTGATAGAGCCCTATATCTGTTTTCGCATGCCTCCCGAAAACAGATGGGTAGCCGAGTAGCTCTTTTCAGTCTGCAGCTGAAAAATATGGCTAGATCCGGCCTATTGGCAGCAGTGGGGAACTTGCAAGGCTCCCCTTTTCGTTTCTGGGACCCTTTCCTTTTTTCCCTTCAAGGTAGCCTGGGTTTCAGCAATGGGGTTAAGGAAGCAGACACAACTTGTGTATGACACATCATGGCATTTTTCTATTCCGATTGGCACAACAGGCAGGGCTCATTCGAGCAGCATGCATCAGCCTCTTCGGCATCACACAGTGTGATGCCGAATAGGGGAGGAGGAGCCATGATAGGCTGTCACATGGTCATTACGGCCAGCCAACCAAGCCAAAGAAGCCGGATTGGCCGAAGGGAACTGACCACTCCAAATTTGTGCACAAGCCTAATAACCATGGGTATTCGTTATGCTGGGTGTGGATGACAGAGCATGTAGTACTACATATTTGCTGAGGCTTTCTTAATAAAATATGATATATAGGCTTCCCTCTTTTGAATCTGAGGCAAATGCATCTAACCAGGGCATGGATATATATATATATATATACACACACACACACACACACACACACAACATGATTGTGACCATGCACACTTTTGTAGGGATTATTTCCAGTGATTAATCAATATTCAAGAAAATAAGCATCCATAGTTACTTTGCTGGTTTGTATTCCTGTCAATTTTGTGGGTATGTACCACTTCAAATAATCCATGCGTTCTGTTAGTAACATACACAACTAGACATCAGAATTTTTGCAATAACCTCAATTATAGGTATTATTGCTTATGTTGCTATCTTAAAGCAAATAGGAAAACAGTTTACTACTAGCTACAAACTAAAGTATATATTGCCCTCCAAATGTAAGTCTGTTTGTATTTACGGAATATTCGTTGTAACATAACAAAATCTCATTTGGAAAAGGTCAATGTACAGTAACCTGAATCCATCACAACTGATTAAAATCAATTACCATGTTGAAAAATTGGTTTCACAACTGGCTAAAATTTTCAAAGCTTTAATCTTGATAAATTTTGATGAAATCTTAACAAAAATCTGTCTTGGTGAATGTTTTTTAAATTTGGTCACAGTTAAGCGTGGTGTGTTTGGTTAGCATAATGCATCATGTTTTGTTTAATGCTCTGACTTGTACAGTAAACAAAATGGTTGTTTATTTCATGCTTTTGGAATGATAGATCAGTTCTCATAATGAATTTAGGGATCTCTGTGGATGGAATACTTCTTTTGATGTTAGTAACAAACTGTGCCTATCTCTTTGAAACATCTCGAGGCTAATTCTTACCGCACCGGAAAAGTATAACTAGTGGAATTTTTGACCTTTTCTCTTTGAACAGTTTGAACACCCTTTTCACTCTAAATCAGAGCTTTGGCACTTGTGGGCCAAGAAAGTGATCTTCTAAAACACTGACTCAATTACCACATCACAGACTGATTTAAAAACATTTTAAGCAATTTGCCATGTGTTCCACAGATTTGGAGGCTCATCTGCTCTAGTCAGTTTATCCCACATACACTGCCCTGAGCCTACAATGGCAGTGGGCCAGAGTCCAGCTGGAACAACTCTGCATTGGCCTGGACTGCCACCTGTCTGTTTCACCATCACCAGTATCAAACTCTGAGCTCCTGGCCTTCGCAAGCACCCCATACTGGCACCAGCAGAACTGCATTCCTACTTCTTCCTGGCTGTGCAGGTGTCAATGTCTGGAGAAGCTGCGGTAATGGCAACACGAGCCCAATCCATCCCATTTTCCTTGCTGTGCTGTCGCATGCTGGGCCTGAAATAATGTCTGTTTACAGGACGTGCTCTCTGTATGCCCAATGGGACACCGGGGTGCCTCAGCTGAAGGGCCCTTTAGATTTCCCAACACAAAGTACTATTGAGGCTCAAGATAAGTTCAACAAAGTTCTTTAATTGTGCTTAAATCTTCAAACAAATGAATTAAACACTTTATAACCTTGGAAAACAGGTAGCTTCCTCAATCTGCCAACAAGGGGCAGGCAACTGGTGGTAAACTGTTCCTTTCTTCCCTAGGGAAATCCTTTGACCACTCCCTGGGCAATCTCCCTTTACCTTGCTGGCGTGAGGCCCCTACTCCAGGCTCCAAGCTGCTTTATGGATAGCCTGAGTGGTCCCTTACCAGGCAAGGATCCAGTAGATCTGCCAAGCTGAAAGGTGTCCTTTAGTTTCTCCACGAAGGCTCTAGGGACTATTTCTTTACTCCCCAGCAGAGCTGTGGATCTATTTCTTTAACCCTCAGCAAAAGCTGTGGAACCTTTCCTTTTTCCCCCAGCAGAGCTGTGAGAAGTGAAGCCTTTGTGCAGGTGGGAAAGAGAATCCTACACGTCCTGCTGTTAGGCTTCAAACAGTGAGACTGAACAAAGGTTCTCCTTTGCCTCCAAAACCCTGGGAAAAGGGGTGGGTCCAAAGATTCTAATGATGATTGCCAAGTTGTTGGCCCTATGATTGCAACCTGAGGGAAGCTACCTTATTGCAAAATGCATGGCTTAAATAGATTCATGCAAACTAACAGTGCAAGAAAAGGAATTTAAATCTCCTGGCACTACTGTGCCAGCACACTTGCACTGATGGCCCATGTGAACAATGGACCAGTCCAAATTGGACCTGATTCTGCTGTACACACTGCCTAGAAACCACAAAGTCACTCAGTGTTTCAGGCAAACTCCAGAGCATCCCATGACTTTTCTTAATGTGTGGTTAAACCAGGTTTACACTGCACTTCTCACCAGAAGTGGCATAATGTTGTGTGGACAGCCTGGATCCAATCATGAGGAGTATACGTTACTGTATTTACACAAATCTAACACTCACCTTTTTTGGCTAAATTATCTTTCCAAAATTACAGTGCACATTAGATTTGCGTAGTAGAGTAATCTTAGTGCTGAGCCAAAGCAATAGGGGAAGCTGCTTCAGGAACATCTAGAGTTTCTATTTGAGGAATATTATCTGTATTTAAATTGTCATAGCTCAATGCTATGCAATCTATACATAGTTTGATGAGGCATCGACACCCTTTGACAGAGAAAGCTCAAGATCTTATAAAAGTACAGCCCCCACGGATCCATAGCATTGAACCAAGGTAGTCAAAGTGGATTCATTCTACAGCACAGATGCACCCCAAGGTTTCTTTTCCATTGTGCTAAAACACAATTGTTTTTTAAAGAAGGCATTCTAAGCAGGCAGCAACTGTAATGGCCAAATTACAAATAGCACATCTTTGCTGCTGCACATTAGATTTGTCAGCAAATACTTTTTTTGGTTTCAGGAGTTTGAAAATTGAAGTGCACATTAGATTTGATGGGTCATTAAACTCGAGTAAAAATGGGTTTTAGGCCCATATAGACAACATGTGGTGGCGCAGTGGGTTAAACTGCTGAGCTGCTGAGCTTGTTGACCGAAAGGTCGCAGATTCGAATCCAGGGAGCGGCTTGTCAGCTCCAGCTTCTGCCAACCTAGCAGTTTGAAAACATGCAAATGTGAGTAGATCAATAGGTACCTCTCCGGCAGGAAGGTAATGGTTCTCCATGCAGTCATACCGGCCACATGACCTTGGAGGTGTCTATGGAAATGGCTCTTTGGCTTAGAAATGGAGAAGAGCACCAACCCCCAGAGTCGGACACAACTGGACTTAATTTCAGGGGAAAACCTTTACATTTACTTAGACAACACCTAAGTTTTGAAAGGAGACCTTCCTTGTCACAGTAGCATTTTTCCGACGTCACTCAACAAAGAGAAGCTTTAAAATTATACCCATTTCAGTTCCTCTCCAGAGGTTCCCTGTGGCTCTGTGTTGCATGTGGATCAGGATCAAAGAGTTAAGAATTGGTGCATTGTGTTGTTGGAGGCTTTCATGGCCTTTATTACTGGGTTGCTGGGAGTTTTCTGGGCTTTATGGGCACGTTCCAGAAGCATTCTCTTCTGACATTTTGCCCACATCTATATCAGGCATCCTCAGAGGTTGTGAGGTCTGTTAGAAACTAAGCAAGTGAGGTTTATGTATCTGTGGAATGTCCAAGGTGGGAGAAAGAATCCTTGTCTGCTTGAGGCAAGTGTGAACCAGCCAGGCTTTGAAGCTGCAAGGCCATTCAGTACTAATCAAGCTGGCCAATTGCAACATTCACACTGCCTCGAGCAGACAAGAATTATTTCTCCCATTCTAGGCATCCACAGATATGTAAATCTCACTTGCCTAGTTTCTAAAAGACCTCACAACCTCTCAGGATGTTTGCCATAGATGTGGGTGAAACATTAGGAGATAATGCTTCTGGAAAATGGCCATAAAGCCTGAAAAACTCACAGCAACCCAATTGTGGCATTCTTGTACTTCTACAGTTTGTAGTACTGTGACACCACTTCTTCTGCTCGTCTTTTCTTAGCCTTACTCATGCACACAAGTGTTTGCCCACATTGATAACAAAAGGTTCCAAATATGCATTCTTCATGTCTGCTCCTCTTAGCATTTTCTAGTAAGTTCATACTCATCTACCCTTGTAAATGGTATATGCTGTCTTTCACCAACGATCACTTTTGCATGGAGGTAAAAGAGAGGAAGAAAATATGAACGTATGGAATTAAATAAAAAAATTGATTCAGTGAGGACTATGACACTTTTAAAATCAATTTTATATTAGAAAGAAGGAAATTACAACAGAATGCCTCTTCAAGCAAACCCGCACAGTAACAAAAAAGAGGGCTAAAGAGATCCACCATTCTTATGTGTCTGAGAACTGCTAATGTGTCTGATGATTTGGAGTCAATGAATCATAAACCCTTTTGTAATCTTTGTTACTCTCCTTTGTCTTGTGCAAATTTTAGACCAGAATATTATTTGCCAAAATATAGATTACTATTGCTAAAGAACTGGTTTGATGAGTAAACTTTGTTAGTCTATCTAGAACTGTATGGACAGTAATCCTGCATATTCATATTAAATCAAGGTACGTATAAACACTGTGAAAAGAGATGGATAGAAAATAGCTAGCTAAGCATTCATCATTCAACCTTTCATGATATATATGAAGGTAAATGACTGCTATATGTCCAACTTCTAGTCACTGCAAAATATATTCTTGTTTTTTCAGGAACGTCTGTTTTCACTGTAACTGCTTATGACTATAGTTTGATGGGAAAGAATTTAAAGTACCAAATCATCAGTGAACATGAAGATATTTTCTCCATCCATCCCATCATGGGTAAAACAGCCTATTTATCTGCATCTGTTCTAAAACCATTTGAGGCTTTGGTAAAATATTTTCCACATTAGAATTGTGATTGCTTTCTATAAACATTATTTCAGTGGTTAGTGTTAGTTTATTTAAGTGCCTGGGGAAGCTGGCTTTTGGCCTTTAAACCCAACAAAGATGTGTTGCTAAAATGGAACCTTGATCAAAATTGTTTCCTTCCACAGCGATACTGATGCCAAAGCTTAAACCCAGTTAGAAAAAAAAAATCAAATTAGCCAATGAGTAGGTTATTCTGAGTTTGCAGGAGTTTTGCTATGATAGATTGCTTAGAGCACTTCCAGACAGGGCTCAAACCTGTGCTAATGTGGGTTTAAGAAACCCGCTTCAGCTTGAGTTTAAGTCCCCACCTCAAAAAAACTGGACTTTCTTGGTGGGATTTCCCGATTCCATCCCAGTAACTACCAGAACGGCATGGTGACAACTGTCATATATTTTATAAATTTTTATTTATTTATTTAGCAGTTTTGTATACCGGTCTTCTCACCTTTGTTCGAGGGACTCAGGCCAGTTTCCGACATCAATATTACAGACAGTCATTAAAACATCATATTCTAAATCACACTAAAACATTAAAATAGCAAAATACAATCATATAATTACAATGGTCAGTCGTCAACAAAAATCATTATTCGTTGTCATCCATCCATATCACAGGATCATGGCTCATTTCGTCGAATGCCAATCCCCAAAGCCAAGTTTTCACCTGTTTCCTGAATGTTAAGATAGAAGGGGCAGTTCTGATCTCCAGTGGAAGGGAGTTCCAGAGTCGAGGGGCCACCACCGAGAAGGCCCTGTCTCTCGTCCCCACCAGCCATGCCTGTGAGGCCGGTGGGATCGAGAGCAGGGCCCCTCCAGACGATCTTAGCAATCTTGATGGTTCATAGGGGAGGATACGTTCGGACAGGTAAATTGGGCCGGAGTCGTTTAGGGCTTTATAGGTTAAGACCAGCACTTTGAATTGTGCTCGGAAGCTGACTGGCAGCCAGTGGAGCTGGCGCAACAGAGGAGTAGTATGCTCCCTGTACCCCGCTCCCATTAGTAACCTGGCTGCTGCACGTTGGACTAATTGAAGCTTCCGGGCAGTCTTCAGAGGCAACCCCACGTAGAGAGCGTTGCAGTAATCTAAACGGGATGTAACCAAAGCGTGGACCACCGTGGCCAAGTCAGACTTCCCAAGGTACGGGCGCAGCTGGCGCACGAGTTTTAACTGTGAAAAACCTCCCCTGACCACCGCCGAAACCTGGGGCTCCAGGCTCAGCGATGAGTCCAGGATCACTCCCAAGCTGCGAACCTGCGCCTTCAGGGGGAGTGTGCCCCCGTCAAGCACAGGCTGTAACCCTATGCCCTGTTCGGCCTTTCGACTGACCAGGAGTACCTCTGTCTTGTCAGGATTTGTTTCAATCTGTTGTCCCTCATCCAGTCCGTTACAGCGGCCAAGCACCGGTTCAGGACTTGAACAGCCTCCTTAGTAGTAGGTGGGAAGGAGTAACAGAGTTGGACATCATCTGCGTACAGATGACATTGCACCCCGAAACTCCGGATGATCTCTCCCAACGGCTTCATGTAAATGTTAAATAACATAGGGGACAGTATTGAACCCTGTGGGACTCCACAGTACAATGGCCGTGGGGTCGAGCAGGAGTCCCCTAGTGACACCTTCTGGGATCACCCCACGAGAAAGGACTGGAGCCACTGCAAAGCAGTACCCCCAAGACCCATTCCTGCGAGGCGTCCCAGAAGGATACCGTGGTCGACGGTATCGAAGGCCGATGAGAGGTCCAGCAGAACCAACAGGGACACACTCCCCCTGTCCAGTTCCCAGCGAAGATCATCCACTAAGGCGACCAAGGCTGTCTCAGTACCATGTCCCGGCCTAAAGCCAGACTGCGCCGGATCTAGATAATCCGTGTCTACCAGGAACTCCTGGAGTTGCGAGGCCACCACACGTTCCAGGACTTTGCCCAAATAGGGGAGATTGGAAACTGGCCGATAGTTGACAAATTGAGTGGGGTCCAGTGATGGTTTTTCCAACAGCGGTTTTATAACAGCTTGTTTTAAGCTGGCTGGAATGATTCCTTCCCGATGGGTGAAGAATTCATTTTTTATTCAACTCCAGTTTATGCCCTAGTAATTCTTCCATTTCTTTCCTTACCTTATATATTTTTTTTACTTTGTCACATTCTCACCACATATGCATGTAGGAGCCAATTTCTACACATCTGTGACAACATAATTTTGTGGTTGGTTTAATTGTGTGATTGAGGTTCTGTACCATTTGGTCAGTATTTTCCTTTGTGTTTCTATAGTCCTTACGTGCTTGATTTTTTAAAAATTGAATTGATCCATTGTTCAGTGTCTGACTCATTACTATTCAGGTTCTCTTTCCGTATCTCGGACAATATTTGTTTCAATTTATATTGTTTTCAGACTAATTTCTTGTATGTGAAACCATCAGGCCTTTCTCCTTTTCTAATTTTCACTTTAAAATGTGATCAAAGTTTGCTTCTGGACCTTCCTTTTTCCTCCAGTCAATAATCCTTTGTTTCAACCCATTCCATAAAAGCCAGTTACATTGACCACAATTATCCTTTATCTTCTCCCAATCTTTGATTGTCCCGTCTGGGTTTAGGAAGTCTCTTATCAGTTTCATTCCATTTTGTTTTAAATTTGTTATCACAACCTCTGAGGGTGCCTGTCATAGATGCAGGCAAAACATCAGGAGAGAATGCTTCTAGAACATGGTCATACAGCCAGAAAAACCTACAACAACCCAATTTGTTATCATCATCATCATCATCATCATCATTAACCACAATAATAATAATAATAATAATAATAATAATAATAATAATAATACTCCTGACCTCACAATCGTGTAAAAAAAAGAGATCCCAAATGTAGACTCTGCAAGGAAGCAGATAAAACAATAGATCACATCCTCAGCTGCTCCAAGAAGATCGCACAGGCAGACTACAAGCAGAGGTATAACACCGTTGCTCAGATGATTCATTGGAACTTGTGCCACAAATACTAACTGCCTGTGACAAAGAACTGGTGGGATCACAAGCTTTAGTTCTATAATGACTCCATAAAAGTATTTACCCATTGCAAATTTCTGCTTGGAATTTTTAAAACTTGAAAGCCTCCAGTAAATCAGTGGACACATGTTGATTGTGTTCATTGTCCTTTTTAGTAACATATTCAGAGAAAATTTGCTAGACACAAGATATCTTCAATTAGGCAGGATGATTATAAACTTCACATCAATTTTTAATTATTGAACAAAATGGAAAGTAATGTGGAATTCCTCACATTCGTATTCAGTATTACAAATATTGTTCTGAAAAAGGTTGTAAATATACTCTATATTTGTGGAAAATGCACAGAAACATAAAAGTATGTCTTTTAAGAAGATTTTCATATAAACCATCTATAATTCATATAAACCATCTATAGATTTTTATGAGTAAAGTTGCTGTGTGCTAAATGAATACCAGCTGATTGCTTGAAAACATAACTTCCTTCTGGCTGGAGAGAAAAAGAAATATACTGCTTAGTTAAACCTCAAGTATGTTTTTAATAATCAATTATTTTATTAACATGGCTGTCTTGTTTAATCTAAATCATGAGCACATTTGGGAACGTTTACGTATGATGGTTTCAGCAATCATATTCCTAGTAGGACTAAATCAAGCAACATCAGAAACACACACACAATGTATTTGTTCTTTTTTTCTTTTTGTTGATGGAGTAATCAGGACCTCTTTCATGGGCATCCAATGAGCTAATTCCATGGGGAAAAGTAGGATGGGGGATGAAAAAAAATATTTTTAGCAACGGCAGCTATTATTATTATTCTGCAGTATGAGTACAAGCAGCTGCGTTTTTAGTTCCACTGTTTCCTGTATATACAGCATGTACATAACCTCACATTGTAGTTTTTTGTGTTGCTTTGCATAGGATGCTTTGCATAGGATGCAGCACCAAGATGCACTAGCATGTGCTTCCTGAACATACAGTCAGAACTCCACATTCACTGGGGTTAGATACACAGGGCTCCTGTGAAAGGGGGAAAACACTTGTTTTTACCTGGAGAAACACCTCTCTAGGAATCTCTAAGAACAAATCTACCAACAACTTTGGATGATTTGGAGCCAGTTTGTCAGAAACCGGCTTCATTGGATGGATGATTAGCTTGACATTTCTGGACAAATTCACATTTACCATGAAAAGCAGCCTCAAACCATTTCCAGAATCCACAGGATCTGCAGCTTGACAGCCTCCAAGAATTGTGTGTTTCTTCATTTCCCAGTGCAATGCACTCCAATATCACACAAGGAGGAAAAAAGAAGGGAAAGTGATAAAAGTGGGGGTAATCAATTTCCTGAAAATACCCCTGATGCTCACCTATGGCCTTGGGGCATTTTCTGGCAGCCCGCCCCATATGTTCAGTTTTTTTTAAAAAAATCAGCATGGACTGGCATCTATAATGTGCTTCACATTCTGTGGAGCTGGTGCCACTGTGCAATGTGGTTTGCACATTGAGTTTATCCAAATGTATCTCTATGAACCAATTAGAGTTAAGATCTGCCCAGGAGGCCCTGCTCTTGATGCCACCCCCCTTGCAGGTGTGATTGGTGGAGACAAGAGACAGGGCCTTCTCAGTGGTGGCTCCCCAGCTATGGAATTCCTTTCCCAATGACATCATACTGACCCCTCCCTCCTGATATTCAGGAAAAAGTTGAAGACCTGGGTATGGAGTCAGGCATTTGGGGAATAGTGCAATATGGAATGTGACAGAAATGTAGCAGCACTAATGACAATGGGTCTAGGCACTATCTTTTTAATCTGTTTGAATTGTAGTTTATGCTCTTATCTGTTTTATTACACTATGTTTTTATTTGTTTATTTATATCTGTAATGCAGCAATGAATTTTGTCATATCTATAAATCGCTCTGAGTGCCCTTCGGGGTGAGAAGAGCAGGGTAGAAATATATAATAATAATTACAATATAATACTATATATATATATATATATATATATATATATATATGTATGTATGTATGTATGTATGTTTCAGACTTTTCCTCAGGTGCTTTCAATTCTTGAATCTGTGCTGAAACATACATCAACAGCCACCACAGTTTTGAGCTAGCTTCAAACTGTGTTATAAGGTCAGTGTAGATGAGCCCTAGGTCCTCTGGTACAGCTTTTCCCATGGAAATTGACCATAAACTCACATTAGAGAACCTAGACATTTCTAGAGAGACCATGCTAATCAAATCCATGAATATTCAAAGCCACAAAACCTAAACCTTCAAATGTGGAGGGCCAGCTGTACAACCAAAAGCTAGGATTGTTGTTCTGGATTGTACAACTGTATTTTGGGGCTGCACCTGAAACTGTTCATGGGGACAGAGCCCTACTACTTGAGAACTTTGTGATGGTGGGGAAAATATGAATAAAGGCCACAGAAATGTCAAATTTCAATCAACAGGAGATTTGCATATCCTTTGTATTTCAGCTTTTAAACATTAATGGTTGTGTCAATTAGGACTTTCTAAATTGGGGCACAAAGCTGGAGAAACTTGGAGAGTTATACTCCAATAGAGCAAATACTCTACAGCTCTGCCTGTTTGACTATAAATAAGATGATCCTGGAGAAAGTATCTTTTCATGGTAAGAATTAAGCCCCCTACTCCATGCATGTTACTTAATTCTCCAAAGTTACTTAACAGAGAGGCTTATCTTCTGGCTGACATGAAAGAAACAAACATGGATTTTGTAGCATATCCATTTACAGTTGTAGACTCCAATGTCAACAGGGCAGTGAATCCATTCCTGGTTTGGTATAGTTTGACAAACTATCCAGTGTGCTGCATTCATTTGGATCACTTCTTTAAAGTCTGGTTTCAAACCTGAAATTATTCCAGTGCCCATCCAAACAAAAACCCCATCCAACATCCAAAACTATAGAATTCTGTAGCTGAATAGCACCTTTCGTGATCGTGAATTCTGTTGTGTCAACTTGTTGCTAGTGGTGAAACACATATTTGTGGCAAAATGTTGTAAATATTGGTTACCAGGGTTGTAATGATCGACCAAGATAAAGAGTATGCCACAAGCTCTCATATGTATGTCCTTCATCAGGCTTTATTTGGCTGCTATGATTCTTGAGTTGGCCTAATAAAGAGCAGATGTTGTCCCACTTTCATGTTGATTGCTTGGTACGATTACTTTTATTAAGATTTTTTTTCAATGCTTGCTTTTGCCAAATTGCCATTATGGTTTTAATTTCTGCGTGCTGATATAGAAAATGAGTTGAGGGAATGTATTCTATCGGTTTACAATTTTAAGTGGTTAAAAAGAGAATATTCCACTGACATTGGTGTTTATTTTTCTCAATTAGTTGCAGATGTATTTGCCTATTATTTGTTTGTATTTGCCGGCTATATGAAATTTACCATTATTTATGTGTTTGTGCATTACAAATATAGCACTTGTAGGTCTCAAACATATAATCATTCTTTTGTGTGTTTTTTCCTCTTTGCTTTCATCAAATGGAACAGGTGAAATCACAGTGAAAAAAGCTGAATTTCTTGATTATGAAGTCAGGAAAAAAGTGCATTTTGTGGTGATAGCAGAAAATGGCTTAACTTCAGCAGCATGTGGGGTGACAGTCTTGATAGAGGATGTGAATGATAATACACCTCAGTTTGACCAAAACCATTTCATAACATCCGTTTGGGAAGGTCAGGCTTACAACACATACGTCATGCAGGTAATCATAAGGTTGTGTTGAAAATGTGGGGTTTTTTTCTAGTTGGTTAGTTCTAAGAAAGATCTAATACTGCCCACTTGGATCAATATTGAAAGCCTTTGTTTCACCATTTTTATAATATTGCTGGAAACAAAATATATTGTCTGAATGTACTTTTTTCAGTTATTTTGTTGGAGCCCCTGTGCCGGCAGGATTGAAAACCGACAGGTTGCAGGTTCGAATCCAGAGACAGCATGAATGAGCTTCCTCTGTCAGCTCTGGCTCCCTATTTGGGGATATGAGAGAAGCCTCCCACAAGTAGGGTATGGTAAAACATCAAAGCATCCGGGCATCCCCTGGGCAATGTCCTTACAGACTGACAATTCTCTCACACCAGAAGAGACTTGCAGTTTCTCAAGTCACTTCTGACACACACAAAAAGCTATTTTGTCAATGCTGTATAAGAAAAGCGAAGGGAGGAACAACATGTGCCTAAAACTAATAGTTGGCACATATCCTCCAGTTTGGACATGCTCCTTTTCTGGATTGTAGTTCCCAGAATACCTCAGCCATTGTAGCTGTAGTGTAAAGGAGATTCAAGAAATTTACAACAATGCATTTATATGCCCATGGTTAAAGCCTTGTGCAGGCAGGACTGAAGACTGACAGATTGGAGATTCAAATCTAGGGAAAGTGTGGATGAGCTCCCTCTGTCAGCTCCAGCTCCCCATGCCGGGACATGAAAGAAGGCTCCCACAAGGATGGTAAAACATCAAAACATCCAGGCAGCATCCTTACAGACAGCCAATCACACACCAGAAGCGACTTTCAGTTTCTTAAGTCGCTCCTGACATGAAAAAAAAATTGTGAGTTACTGATCTGATGATAATCACATTTCATAACACTTATGCCCTAAATTTTCCTACCAGAGGTGGTGGAATATTTTGAAAATATTGTGGTATTTAACTCACTCAGTGGCTAAATAAAGGCACACCTTTATACTGAGTGAGCATCTTCACCTCATATGAAAACTTGAGGAAATGCAATATTTGCTAAGAACATAAAGACACAGTTGAATTCCTATCCATGGGATGTAGCACTGCGATGCAGCCCTTAGAGTGAAGGATTTGGGATTAAAACAAACTATGGGTTTGGTCTGAATTCAAACCGGATCACAAGCTCAGTGAACAGGACAGAGGATTGCATAGACTTCTTGCCACACTTTCTTTCTCAGATATACATTCTCCTGACATAGAATCCCACGATTAGGGGCTTGCCTCATTTCAATGGGAAGCAAAATGTGTCTTTTCAACAACCTCAAACACAGGATGGGGTGGAATGATTGCTTGCTGTGATGAGGTTTACTTTTGAACTACGCACACATCAATTCTCTAATATGTGAGTGAAATATGTTCATGCTCTGGAACACAGATAAATGGAACCAGAACTCCAACACTAGATTAACTGCAGCATCTTGGCAAGGCACCATTTATTATTGTATCCATTCATTCACAGTTCTTACACTCTCACCACAAAAGAGGAACACAGCCATTGAAAAATATTTATAATGTAAATATCAGTAACACAGCAGTGATCTGAATCCAATTCATAGTCCCATCTGCAGAAGACTTGTATAATTATACTGTGTAACATTTTTTTCTGTCTCTGCTTTGAAAGTGTTATTTCCTGTTTAATTGTGTGATACTTACTATGACAGTAGTTGTTGCACTCCATAAACTTTGATTTTGTGTCTGCCACAAACTGTTGAATTGGTGGAGACTCTATCAGATATTCATTGAAAAATGATAGCAAAATGTGCTTCAAAGTTTTTGAAGTTTAATAAACCCTTTCCCATGTTTTTATAATAGAACTAATTAGGAAATGACATTTATAATCCGGGGGGGGGGGGGGGGAGAATCATATTACATACTGTTATTGACTCAGTAAGTCTGCTCAAGACTAAACATAGATTAAGACTTATAAAATCTTTATTATGAATATAATAAAACTATTAAAATCCGATAGTAAACATTAGAAAAGCACAGGAACAAGCAAATGGGGAGCCAAATGAAATGTTTCAAAATATTCATTGTGTGGGTTCTTTACATCTCTTCTGTGAAAAAGTTCAAAAAACAAAGGACTGCCCTCTGGGTATCTTACTTGAGTCACCAACCTATTCAGGTTCTTCCCAGAGTATATCATTAATAGCTTTTCTGTCCCAGAATAAATTATTGATAACTCATGATTTTGTCTTCACATAGATCTATGCAACAGACTCTGACAATGGACTCAACAGAGAGATTGAATATTCAATTTTATCTGGTAACACAAATGAAGCATTTGTCATCGATTCAGCACAGGGAGTTATCTCAACAAATACGATACTAGATCGAGAAGACGTTTCATCATATAGGTATGTCTATTTTTTAATATATATATATATATATATATGGACATACACATACACAAATGCAACAGTTACAATTCCCACCACCACCACAAGGATTATTTTCTTTCACATATTAATCCTTTTGGAGACAATCCTTCTAGATTTACATACTGCATAACATTTATATTCTATTTCTTATGGCCTGATCTCTAGACTTATTCATAATATAATTCTTGAACAGGTTCCATCTTTCTTCAACTTCTTGCATTCTATTTTCATTACCTTTTGAATCATTTAGTTTTACATGCATAATTTCAAATTCTATTTGGTCCACCATATACTGATATCATTTATTTACTGTCCACTTTGATTTGTCTTTCCATCCCAATACTAAAACTGCTTGTGTGCACTCAAATATTGCTTCCTTTATTTCCCTGTAATTTCCCATTCCCTCTCTTTGTACTAAGACCACCATTTATTTTGTTATAATCCAATCAGACCCTAATATATAGACATACATGTATGATTTGGTTTCAAATAAAATAAAATCATATAGGTATGTCTATAAGGAGTGTAATAGCTATAGCATATTTTTACATGATGTTATCTTGTGACATCGGGGGCCTACCAAACTACAAATCACAAGATTCCATAGGATGTCATCATTGCATCTGAAAGAGCCTCAGGAAGAAAGAAAGTTAGTCATTACTATTATGCTAATGCTCCTGTTGGAGGAATGGTATGTATGTTTATTATACAGTAAATAAAAATCCAGGCAAAGGTTTATGTTTTTCCCCCTTAATTCCTAGGGCATATGTTTGTTTTCCATCTAATTATTTATTAATGTATCTATTCCTTTCTCACCACCAAAATGTTGAAATTTGTATTCAGAATCATGGAACTATTTTCCAGCATAGCTTTTGGAGATGGAAGGAAACTAGTTTGACTATGTTTTCTTTCCTTTTTTAACACCATAAGGTTGGTTGTGCAAGTTGCTGACAGAGGAACTCCCAGATTATCGTCTTCATGCACCGTGGAAATTCAAGTGGTGGACATCAATGACAATGTCCCAATTCTCCATCCATTAGGTGTTGTTGAACTCCCTGAAAGTAAGTGTTGTAACTCTCAGGATAAGACGGTTGTCAAAACAAATGTCAGACAGTCATCATTACATGGTTCTTTCTTTCTTCTTCTTTTTTTTTAAAATACTGGACTAGACTAGTTTTCTGAATTTCCTATTAATTTTGGCTCAAATGGTAGTGTTTAGAATGACAGGTATCCTGCAGCACATTCCTGCTAACTATGAACCTCTTGTTTGTGATTGTGAGTAACTTAAAGCCTTCTTTTACAATACTGCTTTGAATCCCCAAACATTGGTGAAAAGACAGCACTTTGAGACCCCGCTGTCAAATTCCTAAGATTTTGCTTCAATTTTTATTTCCTTTATGGGGAGGGAAATAGGGCTCTTAAGCCAAAACTATACAGTGCAGCGATTGTTGTTGAACGTAGCTCTGATGTTTAGCAATAAAGTAAGCTCACAATGAACCAGCTCAAGGTTTAGGAATGGAATATGTGTTGGAATGTAAAAGAGGCTTGTTCCAGCACCTTCAGCCCTCTTCCAGCGTTATTACTTTTTGTGGCATGGTAGCTGTTGTTGGACAGCCATCATTGCTGTACTTAAGTCACATAGACTTAAGTCTATGTTATTGTTTCTTCTGCTGCCTGCATCTCCACTCCTGGGAACTGGTGCAAAGTTGGCATGAAAAGGAGTTTAGACATTTACTGCTCCCATATGACCTTGACTGCTGCCATCACAAAATAGCACAGGAAAGAGACATAATCCAAAAGCTACTATGTCGCTGAACATAGTGCTGGGAAGGTACCCCAGGGTTTCTTCCTATGTTCAATTTTTCACTCATAGAAAAATTTATGAGGCTCTGAAACATCGCTGCCAAGGGAGGGCTTGTTGACTGCTTTTTTCTTGCTCTTCTGCCAGAGGGCAAAAAATGTTTATTTATGGACAAGCTTTTGACATTTAAGCTTTCCCTTTGGCTGAAGGAAGGGCATTTAAATTGGTTGAGTGCTGTTATTATTATGTTTTTAAATTCACTTCTAATTGATTTTGTTTGTTTGTTTTAATTGAACTTCATTGTTTTTAGCTGCCTCAAAGGTGTCATGTTTGGAGAATATTCAGGCTATAAATTAAATTAAGGGATAATTTAATGGGTTGCTGCGAGTTTTCCAGGATGTACTGATGTACTGAAACATCTCTCCTGATGTTTCACCCACATCTTTGTCAGGCATCCTCAGAGGTTGTAAGGTCTGTTGGAAACTACACAAGTGAGGTTTATATATCTATGGAATGTCCAGGGTGGGGAAAAGAAGTCTTGTCTGTTTGAGACAACTGCGACTGTTGCAAATGGCCACCCTGATTACCATTGAATTGTGGCAAATTGCAACATTCACACTTCCCTCAAGCAGATAAAACTCCTTTCTCCCACCCTGGACATTCCACAGATTTATAAACTTCACTTTCCTAGTTTCCAACAGACCTCACAACCTCTGAGAATGCCTGCCATGGATGTGTGTGGAACATCAGGGGAGAATGCTTCTGGGACAACTCACAGCAACCCAATGATTCCAGCCATGAAAGCCTTCGACAACACAGATAAATAAATGTAGTAAATCATTCCCAGAAGTGGGCAAAAAGAATCTCAACTTTGAGTTGACAACTTATGGCCCATTTTGGCAGCCTCTGGAACTATATCACTATTGGAAAATCATCTCCAAGGAATTTCAATCAGAAGTGGAATTTGTGTCACTTCTGTTTTCATCCACCAAGAGGGTACAATTTTAAGATACCAGAGCCACTGATGTAGCCCAGCCCAGAGCATCTATATCTGGCTTGTACATAAACTCCTCCTAGTTTATGGTTTCACTCGGGTATATAGGAATTCAATAACATAGCATAATGGTACATAGTGGCCTGGAAAATGAATATTAGATTTTAGTATGTCTCACCTGTCTGCCAAATAATAATGCACTCAAGCATCAAATTCAAACGAATCAGAAAATGTCTGAACAAAATTATATTCTTTCACAATATCCTCTGACACCAGAGCACCATCCAGTAAACGTTTAGGTCCCACTTTTGCTTTTCATTTCTGGCAGCCTCCAACCATCCCTGCTTTCCATTTGTGATTTTCTTCCAGCCCCTTATTGTTATAGATTTGGCTAGATATTTGTTTTGGCTCCATTTGGAAAAGTTAAAAGATTCTTCCCCTTGCATGCAACCACACTGTAGAATTGATGCAGTTTGACATCACTTTAACAGCGATGGCTCAATGTTATGGAATCGTGGAAGTTGGTTTGGTGGAACTCCAGCATTATTTGGCAGAAAAGGTTAAAGACTCTGTAAAACTACAGGTCTGATCCCACAACATTGAGCCATAGCATTTAACATGGTGTCAAATTGCATTAATTCTGCTGTGTAGTTTTACTCTCCTGTGTGATAGTCAGTCTGATTAGGGCTAGCATATAGAAGACAGAGGCACCTTCTTTGGAGGCTTTTAAACAGAAGCTGGATGGCCATCTGTTGGGGGTGCTTTGAACCCGATTTTCCTGCTTCTTGGCAGGGGGTTAGACTGGATGGCCCACGAGGTCTCTTCCAGCTCTATGATTCTATGAGGGCTGGATAATTGCTCCTTTTCTTTCTGTTCAGAAAGCTAGGGGAGTCTGTCATTCAATAATTGAACAAATTCATTTTTTCTCAACAATGTGGTCATGCTTATGTTGGGAATGAATAACAACATATCACTGCTATCTTCGAAATGAGCCACAATGGTGCAATGGGTTAAACCCTTGTGCCAGCTGAACTGCTGACCTGAAGATTTGGTAGCTGACCTGAAGGTTGCCAGTTCGAATCTGTGAGATGGGGTGAGCTCCCATCTGTCAGCTCTAGCTTGAGTGACATGAGAGAAGCCTCCCAGCTAACAAATCCGAGCATCCCCTGGGCAACGTCTCTGTACCAGCCAATTTTCTCACACCAGAAGCGACTTGCAGTATGGTCTCAGGTGACATGATAAAAATCTGTTGTCTTCTTCACTTCACTGTCATCACTGCTTCTTGAGCTATCCAATGTGCCGTAATTTCTCAACCTAATGTGAAAGGAACAGTTTTATAATTTTGATGAATGCCAGTCCATGGACCAAAACTTTGGGTTGCTTGACATGTTCATAACACCTCTAGTAACTCTGGGTATTATTGTTGTTTGCCTGTCTTACCTTTACTTTGTAGATGTATGAATGCTATACTATGTAAAAACAGCTGTGATAGAGAAGCTCATTTTCAACCATGATTGTTGCAGATGCTCCACTCGGATTCTTAGTGACACAAATATTGGCAGAGGATGCAGATCTGGGCCCCCCTCTTCACTACAGCTTTGCCGAGGATGGCAATCCTGGAATGAAATTTGCAGTTGACCAACACAAAGGAATCGTCATGTTGGTGAATCCATTAGACTTTGAAGAAAACCTTCAGCTCGAATTGTTGATCACTGTTTCAGACTCTGTCCATCAAACCACGGAACAACTGCTAATCCTTCTATCTGATGTCAATGACAATCCACCAGTATTTACTCAGGATATATATCAGGTTAGAAAGGAAAGCATCACTGTAGGCAATTCCAAGCTTTTGTTATGAAAACATCTAATCATGGTTCTTTTGAGGTGCTATGGTATTTTCTTTCTTTCAGGTGTTAATTCCAGAGCTAAGGTCTATAGATGACTCCATCTTGACTGTGTGCGCCACGGATAGAGATTCAGAACACAATGGAAAAATATCCTACAACATTATTTCTCCTTCTGATCATTTTTTCCTTGATCCACACAATGGTGAGTTTACAAAATAATCGGGAAAATAAGGCATACCTAAAATATGTATTTGCTTCTCAAATTTGCATATTTTGGGGGTTTCCAATGTTTTATTTTCATTCACTCATTGTCATTAATACCCGTAATATCAAGTATATTGGGCAGTGTGATAAAAGATTCCATGTGAGTGTGAAATGAAAATATGTCCCATTTCTTCCCCTGTTTGGAGAACTTGTTGTACCTCCATATTACTTTTTCATGACTTAAGACAGCAATCATGCCAAGTTTAAATGTCTCTTTCATGTATTAGGTGAACAGAAATAGAAAAATAAGATCTGTCAGATTTTAACTTTGTAGAACACAGATTTTTTTTTGCCTTTAACTACCTACCCTTATTATTTACAGTTAATGTTATAAAAATCAACATTGTTAAACCATGTATAGTTCTTCTGCAAAATCATAAAAAATGTATCACCTCTCCACATTTCTTTGCTTGTCTATTTAATTTCCCACTGAAACATGTGTATGTAACAGGAAAAATACACCTCCCTACTCAAAACTATTTTTTTATATTGTAAACACAATTTTGGCTCCATTTGCACTGACACTATAATGTGGCTTCTAGATGACAGGAAATTGTGGTGACCATGAAACGCATCCCACCAATGCATGCTGCGGTAGACATTTCAGGGTTTACAGCACATTACAGCACATTGACTGAGTTCAGACAAATAATGCACTGCAGCAAATGCCAGAGTATCCTAAATCCAGAGCAAAATCAGAGCCACAAGACACCCATTGTGGACACCCATCTCTACTGAAGCGTATTATTGACTTCAGAATGAGGCTGCTGAACAGTTCCAGATCTGTTAATCTTCTCACACACATATCAAAACTGGCTCCTTCCAAAAGTATTCCAAGCTGCATTATATTGTCAGTGTAGATGTCCCCAGTGTCTTTTTAACACTTGTACTATCATCTTATATGTGTCTGCTTGGAGAAAATCCCCCTGATTTCTCCCAGTCTTTCAACTTAAATATGAGGGTTATCCGGAAAGTAAGGTTACAATATTTTTTAAAACACAAAGAATTAATATATGTTAATAAAACTTACACGGATTGTAGCATAGGTATTACATTATTTTTCCACATAATCACCATTCAGTTCAATACATTTTGTCATCCGTGGGATGAGTTTTTGATGCCTGTGTCATGGAAGTTTCCCTACACCTTTTTCAGCCAGTTTATCACTTGAATTTTCATATCCTTGTCATTGGGAAAGTGTTTTACATTCAGTTTAGTGAACAGATGATAGTAACTGGGTGTGAGATCAGGGCTATGAGAGGGTGGCTGAAAACATCCCAACCAAATGAAGTCAACAGCTCTTGTGCTGCATGAGCGGTGTGCAGACACACATTGTCATGAAGGAGACAGACTCCCACTGTCAAGGAATTTTCATATCCTTGTCATTGGGAAAGTGTTTTACATTCAGTTTAGTGAACAGATGATAGTAACTGGGTGTGAGATCAGGGCTATGAGAGGGGTGGCTGAAAACATCCRKACCAAATGAAGTCAACAGCTCTTGTGCTGCATGAGCGGTGTGCGGACACATATTGTCATGAAGGAGACAGACTCCCACTGTCAGCATCCCATGACATTTGTTTTGGATGGCTCTGCGAAGTTTCTTCAAGGTCTCACAATTCCATACCCATTTTGTCACATGTTGTCTTGACATTACGTTCATTCTATAAACTGAAATAATTTTGTAATGAATCGCAATGGCGTTCATGCCCTTAGCATTTAGATAGCTTATTACAGGGCAAACTTCCCACTTGGAGGGAAACGGAATGAGGACGCTTATCTCTAACCTTCACCACAATGCCAGTTGATGAGCTACTGACAACTGGCACTGCTCATTTGCTTCCAATCACTTCCTGCTACACAGCAGTGATACCAACTTCCCTCACGAAAATTCCTCGCGAGAGCTACGTTCCTTGTAACCTTACTTTCTGGATAACCCTCATACATTTAATTGAGATAATGATCCATTCTTCCTCTTAGGAAGGAAGGAAAACCCTAAGACCTGAAAACAAATCCTAGTGGGCATCATGGGCCCACTATAGTTATTGTTCAGCTTCTTAAAGTTTGATAAAAAATAATATATTTTTCCTTTGTTTTAGGGACACTGTTCCTTGTTAAGCCATTGCTGTACCAGGACAAGAATCCTATTATTCGGCTCTTCATAGAAGCCAGGGACAATGGGAATCCACCTTTGACTGCTGTTACATTGGTGGTCATACAGATACAGGATGTGAATAATTATACTCCTCAGTTTACAGTGTCAACGTATGAACTCAGCATAAATGAAAATGCCTCTCTTGGAGAGAAGCTTTTCACATTTTCAGCCATTGATTATGATAGAACACATCAGAATACCTATGTTGAATATTCGATTATTGGTGGTAACAGCAGTAATATCTTCAGTGTGGAAAACTGTGTCCTTGGGCCAGAATCTCCAGATAAAGTGATTGGAAATCTTGTTTTGAGAAATTCACTGGACCGAGAAAGAAGCTCGTTTCATCAATTGTTAATTCTTGCATCTGATCATGGAACTCCTCCTCTAAATGCCACTGCTACAGTATTAATCACTGTATTGGATACTAATGATAACCCCCCTGTATTTACTAGTTTGGAATATCATGTTCATGTCAAAGAAGATTTTCCAGTAGGCAGTCCTATCATTTCGGTTTCAGCAAGTGATTATGATTCTGGATCCAATGCAGCTATCACTTACAATATAATGTCTGGAAATGATAATGGACACTTTCAGTTGGAAGAGAAAACTGGCTCCCTTCACCTTGTCAGAGCTCTGGATTATGAAGAGACGGTGGAATTCACTTTGACAGTTCAAGCTTCTGATGGAGGAGTTGGTGTAAAAAATGTGGCATTTGCTGTTGTTTTTTTTAGCATCCTCGATGTCAATGATTACGCCCCATTATTTGTTTTTCCAACTCTGGACTGTGGAGTATCTGAAAATCTGCCTCCTTTTTCTCCAGTGTGCACAATTTCTGCATTAGATTTTGATACTGGGCCGAATGGTCACCTTTCATACTCCATCCAGTCGTCATGTTTACCTGATCATGGACATCATGGAGATCAAGACATGTTTTTCATGGATCCTCTGAAGGGGGAGATCTGTACCAAACACACACTTGACTTTGAACATCAGAATAAATATTGTTTCATAGCTCAGGCAAAAGACAAAAGTGATTTGACAGCCACAATTATGGTTCAAGTGAATGTCAAAGGTGCCGATGAATTTGACCCCGTTTTTAGCCAAGATCAGTATTTTTTTGGTTTTCCTGAAAAGAATGAAGCAGGCCAGTTGGTTGGCAAGGTGACAGCATCAGACTATGATGGAGGATTAGATGGTGCAATTCTCTACACTTTGATAAAACCATCAGCCTTCTTTCTTGTGAACCATAGCAGTGGGTCTGTCTATTTGACTAGATCTTTTCATCGAAAAAGAAAAAGCATAAAGAAAACAGGTGAAACTCTTGAACTGCTCATAAAAGCTCATAGTCCAAAACTGAACTCCAGATCCAGCACATGCACTGTGTTGGTGAACATTTCTAATACTCCAGAGAGCTTTTCCATGTTGCCAGCACACACCGTTTCTGTCAGCATTGCTGTCTCTACTGTAACATTCTTGCTACTGGCAATTATCCTTGCAGTACTTATTGTTAGATGTAGACAGAAAGATACAGTAAATATAAGTGTGAAGAAAGAGGTGCTGTGTCCCTCGGCTGGAAACTTGAACTTGGACAGTGACAAGAATACTCCTAAAGATGCCCATATATCCCAGATCCATGAGACCAGTACCCTCCCCACAGGGAACATAGCTGAGTGGCTTAGTTTGGTTGGCATCAGAGAAAGAAGGGACATTGGCAATCCTTGTAGACATTCAGACTCTAGTGGTCATGGCTCTGCAGAAGGAGAAACTGCAGAAGATGAGGAGATAAAAAGGATTAATGAACATCCTTGCAGGAAAGGTTCTGGATCGGTTATAAGTGACCGAGGCTCACGGATACCCGACTCAGGGATCCCTAGAGACTCTGACCAGCTTTCATGCCAGTCTGGAGAAACGGATGTAGTGGTGGTTTCCCAAAGTGTAGAAGCAGACCACCCCTTCACAAATGAGAGTGGAGGAGAGGGAAGAGATAGCGACAAACTTTTCTGCAACAAGATGCTGTCCCAAACACTTGAAGAAATGGGCATAAAGGAAAAAGATATCACAAGAGACTATGTCTTCATACCCAGTGGCCCAAATTCCCATTACGGCTCCCTGGCCACCCTGGCAGCCTCTGATGAGGATCTCAGAGGCAGCTACAGTTGGGATTACTTGCTAAATTGGGAGCCCAGATTTAAACCCCTTGCTTCTGTGTTCAGCGATATTGCAGAGCTGGAGGATGAAAGCATGAAACTGCATAGTTTTCCTAAGGAGAAGAAATCATTCATTTTTCCTCCTCCGTTGATTACTTCAATAGCTCAGCCTGGTTTAAAGACAGTTCCCCCACGGATGCCTACTTTGTTGCCAGGCCAAGCATTTAAAAAATACCCCCGCTCACCCCTCATCCATCACTTGAGATACCCTTCATCTGTGATGACTCCCAGTTTTTCTCCTTCTCTGTCTCTCCTTACAATGCAGACACCAACAACGTCTCCAATCACCTCACAGTCTGGTCTGAAGGGGATGTGTCCTGGTCGACTGGCACGTGAACTTTCAACAGAGCAAGAAGTTCAACTATAGATTATTTATCATGGATTTAAAATATAAAGTGGACATCTTGGCTAAAATAAGTTACCATATTTCTTTAAAAAGCATAGCATGTCATGTATCTTTTTTTTAATGAACTAAGAATTCCTTATTTAGCCAAGCATTTAACTCCTTAAACAATTCTCTGAAAAATGGATCCTAGGTCAATCAGGCATCCTTATGAGTTTTCTTTACAAATGGCACTAAAAACTCACATTTCCTCTGCAAAAAAAACAACAGATGTTTGCATTCTGCATGTTTAAAATATATTGGGAAATCCCAGGAAGAATACAACTTTCACATAATGCTCACTCTTAAACTCAGGTGAATTGTAGAGTATGTATGAGATTGATGAATGTCCATGAAGCACGTGGAGAAAGTATTTTAGCGGGTCTAACACATACTCTGGTGCTACCAGTCAGGAGCAGACAATGCCACTTTTGTTCACTGCCTAAAACTACTCTGATGCCTGAGCCAAGCACAATTCAACTGGGACAAAAAAGAAAACGCAAACTTGGTGCTATATAGTATTCAATGCATGTGGAAGTATACTTATTGACGAACACACATTTGGGAGTGTGCACATGTGTTGTATCAAATCAGCTTATATTTGCCAATACTTTTCTATTTGTTTTCCTTTTCATTATGATATAAACATAAATGTTTCAGCATTTAAATATACCTTTATTGCATCAATCAGGGTAAGTTAGAACTGATATTTAAAGAATAGGAAGAAAACTTATATCTCATTTTCCATAGTGCATTTAGAAGAATGGTGCTAAGTACAGTAGAGTCTTGCTTATCCAACATAAATGGGCCAGCAGAACATTGGATAAGCAAAATGTTGGATAACAAGGAGGAATTAAGGAAAAGCCTGTTGAACGTCAAATTACATTATGATTTTACTAATTAAGCACCAAAACATCATGTTTTACAACAAATAAACAGAAAAAGCAGTTCAATACAGAGTTTCGTTATGTAGTAATTGTATTTATGAATTTAGCACCAAAACAGACAAGTGTTCTTTCTTTCTCCCACCCTGGACATTATTCCAGGCGGGAGGCAGACTGCATTGGATAATACAGAACGTTAAATGAGTGAAGGTTGGATAAGCGAGACTCTACTGTACTATCTAGATTATCTGGATCCATGTCTCAATTGTATTTTTTGTACGCATAAAAAATAATGGTGAGAGGATTTTAAAAAAACATTTCCAGAAAATAGAATTTAAAAGGCATCTAAGATTACAAAGCAAAGGTGAATTTCTTATTAATGAAGAGAGCTGGTGTGATAGTTTGGATTGATACATCCAGCAATATTATCTTTGTAGTGGATCTTCAGTGCAGTTACACTGATATTGCCTTAAATATCTGGATCACCGAGTTACCCTCTTTCAGTTTCTCCTCACCATAGAAACTTTTCAGAGCAGTCAGAGTAAATCTGGTAATAGTCCTATGAATATAGCAAGGATTCTTCTGACCTTTGGATATGGAAGAACTTGTACGCTTGGTTCTTTGCTTTCCACAACCACAATGAGATCCAGCTGCATTTCGATGTCTTTGGATTATAGCCAGGATATTTTGTTGTACTTTTGGCTTCTTACAGGAAGCATGAAACATTATCAAAGCTTATAAAGATCTACTGCACTAATTTCTCACATAGCAGTGTTTTGCATGATGTGAAAGAAGACAAGCCAAATGAGCAGCATTAATTTATGGATTGTGCATTTGGAAAAATACAAATAAATATATATATATGCTTAAGTACGTGCATGTAGGTATGTATACATGCATTCAAATTAAAAATACATCCAGAATTATAAGGCCATAATTGCAGGGGATGATATATAGAAGTGCATTACTAAATAATGTAATGGTATTTCAAATATAATTTTTGTATTTTCTTTTACTGTGAAATCTTGGTTATATGTCTCTTATTTTCAGTATACTGAACTGAAATACTCAGTGGTTCATGGCCTCAGGGTTTTCATTACCAAAAGAAGGAGGCTTGAAAGAGGATAGCAGAGGAGGAATTATCATAGAGAGAATCTACACCAATCCATTAAACCAGCCCAGACAATGTTATTTTCCATAGTATTGGTGTTTTGTTGGTGAGATACATAGAATAGTCAAACAGAGAGCTCTGATCCTAAGTTGGAGGAATGTCTTTCATTTCCCAACATTCCATAACATTTAAGGTGTTATCAAACTGCTGTATCTTTGTAGTATGTATGTATATGTTACACACACACATTATACATGCTCCCAATGTTGTGGAATAAGACGAGACTTGGTTTTGAAAAGTGGTGTGGAATATACAATATTGAAGGTCGACCTTCTAGACTTCCCAACTGAAAGTAACTCACATCTAGAGAGGTAAACCAAATATCCATCAACAAAGAGAAACACGGGTACTCAAGCAGAATTTTTTTTACAGAGCTTCCAAGGTATTTTGACCTCTTTTTCAGAAGCAATAATAACATTTAATCACCCAGTTAAGTCACCCATCTCTAAACAGTATTAGAAACATCAGGCAGCTGTACAATTGTTAGTATTTACTAATAAATCAGTCCTACTTTGGTTTTTGTCTGTCTCCTTTTGGCTTCAGTGCAGTTACTTTTGCTTTTTGTGTGCATTTTGAATATTGCTACCGTTGGATCCACGGCGAATCAGAAAGGACTCTGGTATGTGGAGGTGATCAAAGATATCAGCTGAAATTGATGGGTATTAGAAGCTGAATTATTTTGCAACATATGATTTAAAATTATATCAAGTGTCCTATCCTGACAAATACATACCAACACTTGGGTTTTTAGGCTCTCATACTGAGACTTTCCCTATCATACTTAACTCATGAAGTTGAAACCCAAACTGACCATGGCCTTTTGCCATGGAAGATGTTAAACCTCATGGCCTGCATCCTATAAATAATGTTGTAACTCTACCATATCATATCACAGTTCATTTTTACAGTTGTTATGCATGCAGACTTGCCATGTGAATGACTGTTCCTTTCCATGTTCATTTTATTTTCCAAAATTAACATCTTGACATTAAAACTTACTACTATGTGCCATTACCCAGTACTGTGTACATCTTGTTCTGTAGGAAAATGCATACTGCCTCTCCTTTTAAGATTGTGTACTAGCCATGATAGACTGCTGCTGAAAGACACATACTGTCCTGATTTTAGGGACTACCAAACACAGCGCCCAAACATAAATCAAGGAACATGAAAGGCGCACTGCAGACTAATTCAACCAGAGAAGTCAGCCATTGCAGAGCACCTGATGAACTAACCTGGACACAGCATATTATTTGAGAACATGGAAATGCTGGAACACTCTAACAACCACTATGTCAGGCTACACTGAGAAGCCATTTAAATCCACAAACGTGGAGAATTTCAACAGAACAAAATCTGGCTACCAGTATGAAAAAACTCTAAAATAGGACAGTAAATAAAGAGCAACACTCAAAAGATTGGAATTCCATACAAGAATCAATCAGGGCCAGGCAGCAACCAGCCAGGCTTTGAAGCTGTAAGGCTATTAAATGATAATCTAGGTGGCCAATTGCAACATTCATACTTTCCTCAAACAAACAAGAGTTCTTTCTCCCACCCTGGACATTCCACAAATATCTAAACTTCACTTGCCTCATTTCCAACAGACCTCACAGCCTCTGAGGATGCCTGCCACACATATGGGTGAAACATAAGGAGAAAGTGCTTCTGGAACATGACCATACAACCAAGAAAACTCACAGCAACCCAGTGATTCCAGCAATGAAAGCCTTCGACAACACAGATAAATAAATATAGTAAATCACTCCCAGAAGTGGGTATAGGTGCAAAAAGAATCTCAACTTTGAGTTGACAAGCTATGGCCCATTTTTCCAGCCACTGGAATTATATCACCATTGGAAAATCACCCCCAAGGAATTTAAATCAGAAGTGGAATTTGTGTCACTTCTATTTTCATCCATCAAGAGGGTACAGTCATAAGATACCAGTGCCACTGATGTAGCCCAGCCCAGAGCATCTGTATCTGGCTTGTACATAAACCCCTCCTAGTTTACGGTTTCGCTCAGGTATAAAAAATTCAATAACATACCATGATGGTACATAGTGGCCTGGAAAATGCAACCCAACTTATAGAGTGCCCTCAGTTGCCCAACCCTAATTTGGAAAATAAAGCAGGAACCAGACCCAACAAGATGAGTTCCAGCTCTTCCTTGTAGTTCACATGGTTAGATGCTGTGGGCTGAGTTTGCTTTACCACATTTTGACCACATTTTACCACATTTTGACATTTTACCACATGATCCGTCAGCCTACAATGAAAGAACATCTAACTATCCATCCTTATTGTATAACAAAATAGTCAAATTTCTAGATCAGGAAACAAGTAATGTTTTTGTCCCATGTCAGCCTGCTGAATGTGGATCTAGTTAGTATTGTATGCCTTTTCTAAAGCATTAGCTGTAAGCTGGTTTCCCTTTTGCCAATTATAAGCCCAATTCTGCATGGGATAATCAGGTTTAAGAAATGTTGTTTCATTAAAGCTTTCCCCCCTACATTTTCCCTTTCAATACATATCTAAATGTACTAATTCTGTGTCCAAAACTGTGAATTAAATTAAGCAGATGTACTGCAGTCACATGTACAGCTGAACTGAAAAATGTGAATATTCAAGGAACAAGCCTGCAGTAAATCATATGTCAGCTCTTTTCACCTCCCTTTTTAAAAATTCTCTGTGTAAACAATATAATTTGTTTAAGTTATTGTGGGTTTAGTTTTTACTTGCCTTAAAAAGTCTATTGTTTGATTATATAGGGTGGGTGATTTCAATCAATGTATGTATGTCATAAAAGAATGGGCTCTATTATAGGAATAACATATCAGGTGCAAAAGGAAACAAATTTCTATTCTGGAATATTGTTCAGCAACAGGTTATTTAAAATGGATACAGTTCTGTAATTCAGTCATGATCCTTCTTATATAAAGAAAAATCGCATATAATAAGGATTCCATAACCATAAAACCCATATCCGCAGTTTCATTTCTCCACATCCTGAGAAAAATTGGCACTCTAGAAATTTGCTAGGTCCCCCAGGTGATTCTATGCTGTGCTTCTACTGGCACCAGAAGTTGGGAGATTTAAAGGTGTTCATTGATATCCAGAGTTTCAGGTAACCATGGTATGACCAAGAACATATCCCTGTGGATAGAGGGGCCTTACTGTATATGATACCAATAGAGCAGCACCACTCTTGGAAGATCTTCAGTATACATTTGTTTTACAAAACAATAGAACAGAGTAATTTTTATGATCAAGATGTCTCTTGGAAACTGCCCTTGTTGATGGATTATCAATAAAGGCAAAGGTTTCTCTTTGACATTAAATTTAGTCCAACTCTGTGGAGTGGTGCTCATCTCCATTTCTAAGCCAAAGAGCCAGTGTTGTCTGTAGACGCCTCCTAGGTCATGTGGCCAGCATGACTACATGGAGCACCGTTATCTTCCTGCCAGAGCGGTACCTATTGATCAGCTCACATTTGCATGCTTTCAAACTACTAAGCTGGGGCTAAAAATGGGCGCTCAACCCATCTGTGGATTAGAACTGCCAGCCTTCCAATCAGCAAGTTCTGCAGTTTAGCGGTTTAATCCACTGCACCACCATGGCCCTTATCAGTAGAAAACATAAATGGTCCACTTGAGCAAAATCTAATTTTAGTATAGTGGCTGCTTGAATAAAGCTTTCATTGGGTGGCTGTGAGTTTTCTGGGTTGTATGGCCATGTTCCAAAAGCATTCTCTCCTGATATTTTGCCCGCATCTATGGCAGGCATCCTCAGAGGTTGTGAGGATTGTCGGAAACTAGCATATATAAACTAGCTGTACCTGCCATACGTTGCTGTGGCCAACCTTCCCTCCCTCTTTCTCTCCTCCTTTCTTTCTCTCCTCCTCTTTCTCTCTCCCCCTTTCTTTATCTCCTTCCTTCCTTCTTTCCTTCCTTCCCTTCTTTTCTTTCATTCCCTCCTTCCTTCTCTTCCTCTTCCCTTCCCCCCTTTTCTTTCCCTTCCTCTTTCTCCCCTTTCTTCCTTCTCTACCTATTCTTTGACTGCAATTCCCAGCAGTCCTCCTGATCGATCTATCTACCTACCCATTTATCTCTATCAAATCTATCTATCAGGAGGATTGCTGGGAGTTGCAGTCCAGGAATAGGAAATTGGAAATATGCAGGGATGGGGATGCTCTCAAAGACATCCAAGGAGAAGAAAGCTTGCATCTTGGAAGCAGTGCATTTGGATCATCCTCCTGTCCTAAAGGGTCTGGTCTAGGGGATGCTAGGAGTTGTAGTCCAGAAGAGAGTGTGGATATGCTATTGTGTGTTTTGTTTGCCAGGGGGAGTTGCTGTAACATCTGTTTGCTTTGGGGGCTTTTTAAACCCCTTCCACTATGTTTTTCAGTGTTTTTATGAGTCGTGGTCACTATTTGGCCTGGTAAGTGTATTGTGTCCGAATTTCATGTCAATTCGTCCAGTGATTTTTGAGTTATGTTAATCCCACAAACGAACATTACACACACACAACCACACATGTAATGTTAGGGTTAGGGATAGGGATATATGTGTGTGTGTGTATATATCTGTAGAGTGTCCAGGGTGGGAGAAAGAACTCTTGTCTGTTTGAGGCAAGTGTGAACGTTGCAATTAACGACCTTGATTAACATTCAATAGCAAATTCAACTAAGCCTTCAACATAAAGCCAATTCAATGAAGCCTTCGACAACACAAAGCTTTCGTGTTTGAAAGCCATGTACTTTAGTGCAACAGGGCTTTTTTGGCCCAAAAACCATGGGTGAAATTCCATTGGGGTTTATCCCTAGGGATTATTGCTCCTATAGATGACTATTTCCCACTAGGATTCTCAGATCGCGGCCTAGTCCAGACAGATCCGAACCTGCATAGCTTTTATTCATCCTAAGCATTTTGGCTTGTTTGGTAAGACCTTGTTAGTGATGTTATTGCTGGTATATTAAGACCTAATTTGCTTCCCTTAGCATCTCTATTTCAGTTGAATTTTCTTGGCCATCCATCTTGCAACCTCGGCAGAATAATTTGAACAAAGTTGGGCTTCTGGTTTCAGTGGGGGGTGGGGGGTGGGAGTTAAACAAAAAAAATCTCTCTTTTCTTCTTCAATAAATATCTTCAGTTATTAATGTTTTCATATTACATAGGAACTTAACTTTGATAAAAAATGTGCGTTACCAAAAAAAAATCCCGTTTCTCCCCATTTCAGCCTATTTTATAAGTAAATGGTCATATTTCTCAGAAAGAAAACCTCCCCAAAGGAAGATTGATTTAAGTTAGAAAATGGAATACTCTTGTGGTTTAAACCAACTCTGCCAGGACAAACACAGATTGCAGCAGGAGTTGGATTCGGCCCATACGCTGCACCTGGAAGAAATGGAGTAACAGTGACGTAATTTGGCAAGAGTGAATTGATTCCCCTGCAATGTGCGGGATATAAAACAGCAGGGAATATGTTATAGAGGGAGAGACATCAAGAACCTGG